AGTTTCGCGGGAATGGCGGGTGGATGCGTGGTCAACGACCAACAAGAACATGCCGTGATGTACCTCATCGCGAAGCTCGCCACGCAGTTCGGCCCACTAGGCGAGGAAACGCGCCTCCGGGCCACCCGCGAAATCTTCGAGATCTCCAGGCGCCGCAGCGACGCCACCGACGCGATGTTCGCCCATTGTCTTGCGCTGCGATTCCGCACTACGCACAACGGTGGTTCTGCGATGTCTTGGGAAGGTCCCCCGAGCGGTCGGCGTCACAGCTGGCCAGCTCATGGCGCTGCTCCAGCCTGGCTGCATCCGATACTCATCAACGGAAGCCGAGCTTAACGGCCCCACGACCATGCTCAAGCGCGTGGGTCATACCGTGGCGCATGCACCAAACGACATCGGCAGCGCTGTTCGCGCGCCGCCATCGTTCGGAAGTTTGCTGGGGCTAAACCAGCGACCACAGCAACGACGCAGATGCGACGGATCCGCGGCACACTCAGGGTTTCGACCCCTGGGCTGCCGGCGCCGCCGAGCACCCCGGTGCCAGACAGATGTTGATTTGCCCTGGCTGTTAAGGGTTGCAAAACAGCAGCGGCGCAGACGCGCGCGACGCCCCGCCCATAGAGTGCGCAGGTGCATCAAGAAGAACAACGACGCATGTTTTAGAAAGGGCAATTGCTGAGGCAATGGTTCCCATCATTACGCATTTCTTTTGGAGCTCTCAGACACCGGGGTCTTTTATTTCCACTTCGGTGGACGCGGGCAGGGCACTAGCAAGCGGTCGTCAGGAGAGGGGGGCGGCAGGCGCCGCAATCCGCAGGGCTACGACGGGGCCACCATGACGCGCAGCATCTGTGGGAGCGAGTGCCGCCCCCGTGCTGAGCGCCCCTAAGGCGCAACACCATCGCCGCAGGACAGCGGCGGCAGCGGGTAGTTCTGAGGATATGCAGATCCAGGGCCCACCCACAGTCGGCATCCTGGACGCCTGCCCTTTCTCCGGGATCTCAGGAATTGTCTTCGCGGTCGCTGATAGCCCTCTTCAGCCTCGGCAGGGCCGCGACATCTCTGCGGCGTAGCCATCCGTCAACGGCCCCTGCCAGCTGCCTGGATCTGTCCATGGCTCGCGGTCAGCAGCCTCGTCGCTTGCTCAGATCCACGCGCGCGCTGACGCGACAGATGTCCTGCCACCACCTCAGATGTTCAGCGTTGCAGCGCCAACTCCAGGACCGCTGCAAACGCTCGCGCTTCCGCCGTTCCCACGCGCGGCCGCCGGCGCCGCGGAGCTGGCAGCCGCCGCCAATGGAGCGCGCCCCTTCGCCAGCGAACCACGGAGGATTACAACTTTGCGGGGCCCCCGCGAGATGAACCTCGTCGAACGGCGGCGCAGCGCAGCGCCGCTATCTTGCCCGTGGGCCAGCTCACGACCCCCGGCGATCAGCGGATCATCATCCTACGCATCGATGATTTCGGCCAACTCGCGCGTCTACGGCAGGGCCTGCGAGCGTGGGCTGCCCTGCCAGACAGACGACGCCGCGGATATGAGCACTTGGCAGACGTGCCGACCGCGGCGGCCAGGGGAAGCGTCGCGCGCGACCTGGTCCCTGAGATACCCGCCCGGCTGTCTTCCATGGCCAGATTGGAGGGCGACCGCGACGCTCAGACGGCGCAGCGACGCGCCCACCGACGCACGCTTGCGCGAAGGAGGAGCAACGTGGCCACGGCTAGACCCCCAGCCGCTGCGCCGCCGCCGCTACCATCGAATCGACGCGCAGAGTCAGAACATACAGGAGTGGAAGCTTACGCCGATGTGATGCGCGGCATCTGATGAGACCGCTGCATTAACCTGGTTCTTCCCGCCATTTTGCAACGTGACCGCCTTTCCCATCGGAGCTGCGCCGACGTCCGGGCCGCCGCTGGCCGCGACAACGACCATCCCAGATGAGAGCAGTAGACGATGCGCCATGCTCAACATGCCCAACGTGTAGGCAACACTCGGCGGCGCGCGAGGTCACGCGCGCCCGCGTCGCATCCGCGCCCCGCGAAGCGCCCGATGGAGACGCGCCATCTGGGCCTGATCACACCGCGAGACGCACCCATCGGCGAGATCGGCCTCGGCACCCCTGAATCTACCCAGGGGCGGCCGTCGCCCCATGGCTCGCCGCGTAGCGGCGGGGTCGACCTGCCCCCCGAGCGCCAGCCACCAGCTCAGCAAACGAGCGCGCCATTCAGGTGCATCACAGTTGCGCCCAGCTCATCCAGGTGCGCGCAGGGCCATCGTGGATCCAGGTGCGTGGACCAACCTCGCGGGCGCCGGCCGCTGCGGCCCCTCACGGGCAAACCCGCGATCATCCAGGGAGTTGGCATGGGGGCCCAGGAGTGCACCCATCAGGTGAGCGCCCCCAACTGCCGTCACGGATGAACAGGGCAAAGCTATCATCCACAGTTTTGCAGCACCCATCGCCAGAGGATTGGGCAGTAACCTCTCCGACCTGATCGGCGCGCGCAGCATGGGGCCCGTGCGCGCGATCCGGGGCATGAGCCAAAACGAGCGGCGACATCCAGGTCCAATGGCCCGCAGGCGCGGCCAGCGCCCCATTGCATTATGGCTCCGAGCGGACGCCTGGCGATGGTCAGAGACGATTTCGAGCGGCCCGTGCAAGCCGCAGGCGGCGTGCCCGACAGCAGCGTTCAGCTGCATGCCCACGCCGGCGAGACGGAGACGGAGGGCGCGACGCCTGCAGCTGCCTTTGCCAGCCAGGAGGTTGGGCAGCGATAGACCGTCGGCTCTCATTGAGCTGTGGCCCCTTCATGGAGTGCCCTAGCCCTCCCGGCAGAGGGGCCGACGTCGCGTCCCAGGCGCGTTCTAGTGATAGAACTCGCGCCCGCAGGCGCGGATGGCGGACGCGAGCTTTCCATCCTGTCAGCGTCATGTCTCCCAATTTCTCAGTTCGACTCAATGAAGTTGCCCGACAGGAATATCAAAAGGTTTGGATGATGACGCCGTCAAGCCACATTTATCTAGGGGGGGAAATGCAATCGTGCCCGAGACTTACTGCATCATCTCTTACTGACGCGTCGGAGGCACAACATGCCCCGTGTTTCAATAGACTTGGCAATCAAGCTGGATTGTACGATAGAGCTGGTTACGAACCCAGCAGTTGGCATTATGCTGATCATCCGCAGGCTCTGCCGACTTGGACTTGCACCAGAATATGACACGGAGTTTTCCGCCAAGACAGCACATCACATCGTTGCGTCGGTAGAACAGGGGACCAGCCTGCTGCGCCTATGCCCCAGAGACATTGTGCGCGGGGCGCCCTGGCACTGGACCCCGGAGCGCCGTCTCGATAGATTCGCGTTGTATCCCCGGCAGAGCGCGTCGAGGCAGAAGTTGCGGCGCATTTCCACGCGCGATGGGTCGCGTACTTGGGCTTGGCCCGAGCAGCGTCTTCTGCTCAAGCAGAGTCAAAGCTTGTTGGGCCCACGAAATCACCAGCTGCTCTGCTTGGCTAGGAGGCCTCGGCAGCGTCTTCGAGCACCCAGCACTCTCACCCCCGGACTGTTCGTCAGCCCGACAATCCTGACTCACGCAAGATACATCTACAAGCATATAGGACACGTAGGGCACGGAGAACGAAACAAAAAATCACGCACCGCAATGATAGACGCCACGACAACAAGATACGCAAGACGAAGAAGTGTAAGAAGTCTAGAACGTTATGATGGAGGACTACTGGATCTCCAACGTTGCGGGCGCACCGTGAGACGAGTTTACGCGTTTCTCCGCACGTCCCTTGTTTACGCCTGCGAAAACCTTGCAACGGATCTCTCAACGCTTCAGCGAGCGACCAGAGGACCAACGCCAACCCTAAACTTGGGCCATGCAGTCTTGTCACCAACAAGTCGAGCTGGAAACGCCGACCTGCCGCGCATGGGGTTTTGCCCTGCGAACGGACAGGCAGAACCGCCTTCCATGTCCCCCAGATGCCCCCGACATTTGCCTTTCCCACCGAAGAGGCAGAACGGGCGAAGGCGCGCGGGAAGCAAGATCATGCGCTAGCCAACCGCCACGGGACGGTTGAACATGTGTTTCGTGACATCGGCGACGTCTTCTCTGGCCCCGGCGCGGAAGAGCTGCTCAGCAGCAGCAGCAGCAGGGGCCGTCGTTGGTCGGCGCGCCGCGTTCCCAGTGCCCACTTTCCAAGCCGCGGCCGTCGCGCATGCCCTGTTTGCGATCCGCGCCGCAGGGCCCGGCGCGGACCTATGTGCGTTGCGCGGCAGCGAAGCCCGCGCCCAGCAGATCGCCATCCGACGACAACTTGAGACAGGCGACAACTTCGACCTGGCGCTTGGCCATGACGCAGTCAGCCCCGCCGTCTGACGGCACCTCCTACTGTGGACGTCCAACAATGTTTTGGCAGCGGTTTTGGCGCCGGTTTGCCGCAGTACTCGGCCGCTCAGTGGTCTCGACTACCGCGTCAACCATGAGACCTAGCGCGCGCGCCACGAGGAGGATGTGCCACGCATCTCCTTATGCAAAAACATTTTGGTCGCGCAGATACGGAAGGGGCGATGCTTCTTTCTCGAGTAACTGACCCCTATCTCAGCGCATGTGGAACCGGTTTTGTTATACCAGTGCTGCTTGGGAGCCAAAGGTCCATGTGGCCTCCCAGCCAAGATGCAGTCCGTGGCTATCGCCAACTCACTTCGCCTGCTGGCACCCGCCAGGAATCGGAGGTGCAGCGGCGACCGCGACCACGACGCTAACTGGGGTCGCAGTCATAACGCCAAGACATGACAAGTCTGGCCATGGCGCTTCGCTGAGCGCGTGGCGCAAGGGATCGTCACTCTCAAAGCCGCGGTCGAAAGCCCCTTCACTCTGGTCGAGCTCCAACCGGCCACGGGGGCCCACATCAGCCCAGATGCTCTCCAGGAGCGTAGACGCCTGGAAGGGGCCGCGGAACCGCCGGCGCCGGCGCCGGCAGCCGCGCCAGCGCCGTCAGGAATGTCGCGAGCCCGACCGAAGACGTCTGGAGCTCCAACGCGCGCCTCTGGCACGCCGACATCCGCCGCGTCACCAGCTGCCAAGCAGGCAGCGCGCACCACGTGCTTAACTGCCCAGAATGTCCCGCCTGCCGCGGGGATCGCAGCAGCTTGGGCCCGCGCAGCATTCAGATTCTTGGGAAGTGCGCCATTCCGCCAAGAGTCGAGTCACCATGCTCTCGTCCAGGATGCGCACGCGACCCACTGCCAGATAGCGCGCGCCCTGACAGCGCCAAGCTGCCAGGATAATGTTGCTGGTTCAACGAACCATGCAAGGCTGTCCAAGAACGCCGTACCAACATAGCCGATCCTGTTCCCGCGAGGCTCTATTGCAGCAGTCTCAGGATCCTGTGACGCGAATCCCTGGATCACACGAGAGTCCTGACGCCGATGGGCCCCCTCCCGATCGGGGTCTCCAAGACGACCCTGCATCTCCAGCGCCAATGCGCGACTACCTCTTCGAAGACAGCGAACCGCTACCACCGCCTGACCCAGTCGTGGACGCTGCGACGGGTCATGCACCAGAGGGCTTGGCAAGCTTCGACCTCGCTCAGAGCTTGCGCATGCTCCGAAGCGGCGATGCATCGCAGATGCGACGCGAGATCTTCAAACTACACATTCATTGGCAGCATGCTACACGACTCCAGATGAGAAAGATATTCACAGCAGCCCAGTGCCTGGTTAGCCTCATCCAAATGATCGTTGGCGTGGTAGATACATGCCGCGAGTGCCCGGCCTGGGCCAGCAACGCGTTACAAATTGCACCCACGGTCGAGCTGGCTTTGGCTCCCAGTCGGGAAGTACATGGAAACTCTTTTTTTTCGCCAATATGAGCTGGCACATGATCGACAGAGCCGACCGGTAAAATGCAGCAAGGTTGCTCGAGTGCGACTCTAGTAATGTTGGACGCCGATCATCTGAGCGCCTGTGCTCTGCAATCCTGGCGCGTTGGATCTCGACCTTCGGGCCGTTCAGGACCTTGATAGTGGATGGCGAACGCGGTGTGCTTGGTACTGAAGCTAAGCCTTTTTTTGATCGACGCGGCACAGTGGCCCGAGTGCGGGTCCCAGATCAGCACGTCCGAATGATCGAGCGACGCGTGCGATCTTACGACGCGCCATGCCTTGCATTGGAAACCAATTCTGGCGCGAAGGACTCGGAGTCAGCACGTCCGACCTACTGTCTGAGGCAGCGTTCGCAGTCAATTCTCTCATATCCTACAGAGGCGCATCAACAAAAATGCGACGCGCGGTTTCGATGACAGTTGCGGATGCTGCCGGTCATGGTGGCCTTCCCGGATGACTCCGCCAGCGGTGCTCGCACTTCGCGCCGACGACGAGTGATCGCCATGCAATGGATCGCAGAGGCCTCGGTTACCTCCCGTGTCAAGTGGGCCTCAAAGACCAGCGCCGCAGCAGCAGGGCCGATCCTGGACTACAAGCCAGGCGAGCTGGTCGACTTCTACCGAGCCCCATCCGCTGAAGATGCGAGCGGGCAGAGCGGTCAATCCGCAGTCGTCAAGATGAGTGTTCAACAAGGCACAGTAACCATCAACTACCGAGGCGCCCAACAGATATGCAGCCTCGGAGATGTACGACCACTATTGGACTTTGGCGTGCTGGTATCTGGGGTCACGAGCCTACATACTACGCCACGCGGTCAGGCATGGAGGACGGTAGAGCAGTATATCATGAGTACATCGGCGAAGAACCTCTAACGCTTTGGCTTTGCCGACACCGGCGCGGTCCCTGCCATGACTACCACTCAGTGCCATGTGGCTTTGGGCCTCGAGTACCTAGCCAGAAGCGTCTTCAACCTTCGCATGTTCGCGGCCATCCAAGTCGGCCGCGGCCTTGAGCGCGTCGTGACTGAAGAATGTCGAGACGAAATCCCCCCTGGCATGTTGGCGACCGGGCCATCGAGAAGTGTAGACCTGGCGGAGCTTCGAAGCTGGCAGGCTAAGCCTTGTCGGTCTCCTCGGTTCCAAGTGCGGCAAATTGCGCTATCTCCTGTCCGTACTCGGAGAGGTAGCCTGACGTTGCTCCGGAGACCCCGCGGAAAATGAGCTCCACGCGGCAGGCGCCAGGGGAAGTATTGCGGATCTTTCGGAAGCCGGCTCGCGCCCCAATGACTCCACGCATGACGACGGGAGCTGTCCGCCATTGAGGGGGGCCCCGCGAAGACTCTTTGGGCGACTGCTGCCTCCCCGACGCCGCGGGGTGGACCTCCCTGGCGCGCGACCAGCGGTTTGTCATGAGGTACGCGCTGCTTACAGGGTCGGTCACATTCGATTAGATCTCAGAGACGGAGATCCAGACCGCTCCGTCATATCCACTATCCACTACCGCAAGTTGTTCCACGGCGGCATGCCAGCACCACCACCACTCCACCGACGGCGCCTTTCCCCTCGCTTCCGCGGAGGCCCGCAGACGTAGATGACACAAGGAAACGCCCGCGTGGAATTAGCCCCAGACGAGCACATATCTATATATATATATATAGATATATGTATACACAAATAGATTAGATCATATTGTTCCAAAGGGACACTGTGAAAGCAACCTGGTCTGCGTGGCAGGAACCAAGAAGGCAGCGGTCGAACGCGACGCTGTCCGACTCACCCCCGAAGAGCTTCGAGAGCGCGTCGCAGACGTCGCGTCCGCCATGCTCGAGGCACGGCAAGACTGGGTGGATCGCAGTTGCTTCTCACGGCGCCCGCGCCACGGAGCGCGCAACGCCCTTGACTGCAGGTGGGTAGGCGGGTTGACGTGAACGACCAAGCAAAGCAGACCCGTCTCCCAAAGCGCGGATCACCCGCGCGAGGCCGACCCGTCGGGGCTGAGACGCCGACGCCGATCTGATCAGCGCGAACGCAGGCACCTCATTGCGGCCCTTCCAGCGCCTGATGGTCTCTGAGGTACCTGCCGATGAAGGACGATCGACGCTTGGGACGTGAAGAGAGCCTGCCTGACAGGTGCTAGCCACCAGGAACTTTCGGAGCCAACAGGCGAGGGGGAACGCAATGCCCACTTTGAGCTCTTCTCCGACGCCGTCGCAGTCCTGCGTAGAGCAACCGGCCGCGAAGATTTCGACACAGCGCCTGAAGGTCCCAACGTGGAGAAAACAGGCACCGGGTGTAAAGATGCCCTGAGGCGCATGTCCATCCTGCTCGCCAAGATCACCAATCGAATGCGCCAGGCCCTTCCCCACTCTACGACGACGAGTTCACAGCAAAGCATGCAGATGGCGAGCTCGTCCTACTGGCCACAACATGTTTACGACATAGGGGGGGCAGGATCACCGCAGGAAAAGGCTAACATATGCCAGTGCCTGGAGGATGTCTCTGGTAAAGGTGAGCTGGATTCCAGCAGAGGAACCTTCGCATGCCGTGGGGCCCGCCACTTCCCCACGCACAACGGCGGACACGAGCTGGAGCAGATCGAGTAATTACATTCAGGACCTGGACCCTATAGGAAGCGCTGAGCTAGTTGGCATGTCCACCGCCGAGCTCGCCTCAGATAACCTGGCCGTGTTGTACGTCTGCCTATTCATGGCACTCGACTTCTCATTCATCGTGCGCATCGATTTGCACGTCTACGCGGTCGCACTTCAGCGCCGCGCAGCGGCGCCAGCGCGCGGTCGCATGCGGAAGCCCATCACGCGGAGGCGGCGGGCGCAGGCCAAGCTGGCGCGGATCCACTACCCACTTATGCTGTGCGCGCAGACTTGAACTACTCAGCGAAGCACTGCTCAGACAAGGACAGATGACCGGTGCAGACGCGAGAGGGGCCCTGCGAGGAGCCACCTCCCTGCGCATGGGCGCCGGCGACACGGAAATTCAACGGACGTTCGTTGGCGAGCCAGTGCGCCAGCTACTAGACTGGCAGCGCGGGGCGAGCTGGTGAGCTGGTGGCCACGACAAGCTCGACAGATCACGGCATCGCTCTGGTCACCGCGTTCCACGGAGTGCGCGAGGGACCTCGAGGTCCTGAAGTTGTGCGCCGCAGACGAGATGGTCAGTCAGCAGCCACTGGCGCTGCAAATTGGGCGTTGCCTCGATTTCACGGGGGCGGCCACAGCCGCCGCGACTACGACGCCTGAGCCCCCCAGCAGACTATGGGCCCTAAGCTGGGAAGGCGCGCGAGATGTGATCTCGGGTGGATGGACAAAAGGAATCGATGGACCTGCCCTCCACGACGCGAACGGTGGCTTTCGCCCGCGGCCACGCAACCCGCGCACAGTCGCCCTCATGCCGGCCGGCAAGCTCACCGTGCAATTAGGCTATGAACGCCAGCCGTCTTTCGACAACTAACAGTGATCGATCTGTGCCTGTGGAATGCTGTTTTCTCTTTGTCCCTCGAAACCGCCGGTCCTTCCTCATCCAAATCCTTCCCAGAAGGCTTGTCTGGCTGCGCGCGGCGCTTCAGAGACATCTTGCAGCGCGGCAGCTCGCGAAGAGCATGTCCCCAGGAGTTTCGCCATCGCAATGTTCAGCTCGCGCTGCGGAAGTGGGCGCGCATGTGCACGGACGTTTGTGGCGCAGTAGCACGGATTGTCAGGGATGAACGTTCATGGCGCCACTGCCGATTCTAAGCAGCATGCTTGTGCGCCCGCCCGGCCGGCGCGCGGCCGCCAGTCGCGGCCCGCGCGCTGCTGGGCCCGCGCTCGGGCCACCGACGCACGTCGACGCGCGCTGGGGCCGTCCGTTGTTCGCGCGCGCGTGCCAGCTTGATTTAAACAAGCCGCCAGAGCCGCCTGGGCCGCAGCTTCCTCGTCGCTCGCGGACCGCGCCCCCGGCGCCACTCTCGCCCACGGAGCAAGTGGCGTCATTGGGCGACTTTGCACTCGCGGCGCCCACAGGTCGAGCCGAACCACGCGCTCGATCTCCGACGCCCCCTCCAGGCACATGGTCGAGGTCTGTTGCCAGAAAACGCTGCTGGTCATGGTCCGCCCCCCCGACATCATGGGACCCTGAGACCAGGGCGCAGACAAACCGGGACATTGGCAAGTCGGGGAAACGACGCCCTTTCCAGCAAAGCCAGATTTCGTCGTCCAGCGCACTGCACGATTCAGGTTTTTTGTCCGGACCTGGAGACGCCCGGCATATATCCAGGGCTTGTGTCCAGGATTATTCTAGGAATGGTGCATTGCAGTTTTTGTTTCGAGCCGCCGTCTGGAGAAATTGGCCTCGAGGGATGTTGAATATCTTGGTCCCGCGCGCCCTGGTCTACGAGGCCCTGATGGCATGCTTTTGATGATGACTTCACCGAACATGAGCAGGCGCGTGAGTTGCAGCGTCAGGTGCAGCAGTTCAACGAGACATGGCGCATCACCTCAACTTCATGAGCCCCCCGACTCTACGCGCGGGCTCAAGGGCTTCCCCAGTCCCGCTCGGGCCCGCCGTCTGCCCGCAGGCGTCGCGCAGCTGCCGAGCTCCGCGCGATGATGCTGCCAGCCAGCAAAGTATCCGCGCTGAGTCGTCCGAGCGCCCCCCGGCCCCCGACGAGCCAGCGTCGGCGCTCGCGGAGTGGTGGGGTTCCTGCGGCCACAGCATATCGCCGACCCAGTCCCCGAGGTGCTGCTCCGATGGAGTCTCTACTCCGCCTCCGTCATGGAGTCACATGTGCGCGCGGGGGCTTGCAGGGCCCTGGGCTGGTCAAGCGACGCGCAGCCGCAGCCTCCGCAGCGCGCCAACGCTCCGCTCAGCATCGGCCTGGTCATCTACGCGGCCATGCTGCGCAACTTCTGAGTCTCGTGGACTGCCCGAGAGGGGCCGAGTGCCGCCGCTATTGGTCACCCACCAATGTCGGCTCGCGGCCAGGGTTTGGCCGAGACCCCCTTTCGGCCCGGGACGAGTCGGTTCTCGGCCCGCCTTCTTCTGCGAGCAGGCCGCTCGGCTACGCGCGGCCAGCGCCGCTGACTCCGCGGCCGTCGCGCCCCCCATCGCCGCGGGGTGAACGCGCGCCGCGCGCAACTCCTCGTCGGCGCCTTTCACCAGGAGGTTCAGCCCCGGTCTCCCTCTCGCGAGGCTGAGTGCGACGAGGACAGCGCCGCGCACGGTTCGGCCTGGAGGCCGACGCTACCCCGTCCTCCGTCGCCGCGCCCACAGCGTGGATTATGACGAGAGCCTTGGCGACCATCGGCTCTCGCGGGCACGCCGGTGCGGCCTCCGGAAAGGGCGAGGGCCAGGGCAATATCAAGAGCGTGCTCATGCCAGAGACTGCCGCCGACATGCCCAACGAGAAGAAGAAAACGTGCAGGACAGCGGAGAAGGTCAAACGCCGGCGCGCCAGCGCGGCCATCCGCGCGGCCGCCGCCCGCGATCCAAGCCAGCCCTCGCCCGCGGGCAGTGCCGAGGCCGAGCAAGCGGAGACCCCCGACACGCCCAGCGAGGAGGTGGACTTGGGTCGTGGACGGAGCGGCCCCCGCAACTCGTGATTGCGGTGAATCTCGAGGCGATCGTGCCAAAAAGTGCGCGCATCTCTCGACGTCTATCTCCATCCATCGCCTTTTCCCGTCCACCAGGTCAAGGCGTCCGCGCGCTCTCACCTCGCCCCTCGCGCGACCCCGAGGCCATCGCTTTGCTTAGGACACCCTTGCATCACGTCTGCGGCCCGAGGTCACTAACAGATGCAGATGCGGCCTGGAAGAACTCACACCACCATCACTCACGCGCGCGAGCCCCTCCAGTACCGCCCCCTAAGAGCGCGAGCGAGCCACCCGCTTGGGAGGGCGAACCCGCGCCCCGCCGCGTCGCGCGCCCCCAGGTCAGACAGCAACGGGGTGTCCCTGCTGAGTCTAGGATGCTCTGGGGTTGGACAGTTATGGTTCCTCTATTCCTTTGTCTCCCTTTTCCGCCAGAGCTTTTCGACCGCTCGCGCAGTCCCGACTCCCGCCACCGCTTGGCTGCAGCGCCAGCGCATACCGGCATGACGTACGAGAAGCTTAACGCTGCAATTCTTATCGTATTGCCGCCATGCTGTCTCTCGTGCAGCTCCCAGACCCCGCAAATCTAGTACCTGTTCCTCCTCCTCCTCATCCCTCTCCCTCCTCCTCCCCCGTCCTCCTCCTCCTCCTCCTCCTCCGCCTCATCATCATCATCGTCATCATCATCATCCTCATCATCATCATCGTCATCATCATCATACTTGTTGTCCTTCTTCTGTTGTTTCATTCATCACCCGGAAGTTTCTGGAGGTCTTGAAGGTTTTTTGAATTCCCGACTAGCGCCCATTCGTATTGTCATGCCGTTTCGGCGTTCCTCGCTCGGCCAGGTCCCATGCGAGCGGCGGCAATGGGTATTTCGCGGATGCTCTAGTTTATGTGGTCAATGTGTTGCCGGAGAGGGGCCGCCGAACATAGTTAATACTGTTTTTTGGGGGGGGCTCGCTGTATCACTAGTGGGTTTACTGTTTGCTCCTTCGAATTGACGAACAATTTCGCCAATCCCGGAATTTGCCGATGAATTTGTCATCCCCGTGCCTTTAGTGAGGTGCGCCCATTCTGGTCCATTCGGGGCCCCCATGGAGGTCTCGACCCTCTCCCTGGTGCCAACTTTTCGTCCCAAACCGTTTTTGGCACGGCCCTTGAGCCCAGCGACGGCCCCCCAGAACCTGCCGCGTGCAGAGGGGGTATGGGGGAGGGGGGGAGGTTTCTTCGAAGCACCCCTGCGTCTTAGAAGGGCCGTACCTGCAGATCAAAGGCCGGCGCCCTCTGAGAAAAGTGGTTTCCTGCTGGGAAGCCTTCGCCCCTCCCCCCGTTCCCAATTGTGCGTGCCGCCGACGACCTCCGCGAACCACCAGAAACAAAAGTGCCACTGCCACCAGCTAGGGGGGTGGCGGTCCCACCTTCTCGAGCTGGTGGCCCCTCGTTCCGGGCACGCCTCGAGAGAGTGCCCGGCAGGGGGTGCCACCAGCTCGAGGGGAGGGAACGGCCACCCCCCCTAGCTGGTGGTAGTGGTACCGTTGTCTCTCCTGGGCGAGGCGTGGTCTGTCGTGAATATCTCTCAGGGCCCGAGGGTCGCAACACCGAATCCTCGGGGGGCCCGGGGCGGTCTGGGGCACCCTTGCGATTCGCGCCTCGGGGGCCCAGGCCAGAGAGATACAGTCAACCCGCACAGTACTCCGGGTTTCTTGAGAAGCGTGGGGGGTCTATATATATATATATATATATACACACATACATATACATATATACATAGATCCCCCCGACATGGGTCAGCGTCGCCTCGTCGTCGCGCCGCGACGGGGGTCGGAGCGCCTTCGGCGCGCGGTGGCTGCCCGCGACGGGGGTCGATGTGGGGCTGTCGGCGGGGGCGACGCCCCCCCGACGCTTATTAAGAAACTCGGAGTAAGGATGTGCAACCTTCCCAAGGGTACCCATGCATCCTTGCCTCCTCGGTCCATCCCTCGCCACTTTCGTTGGCCGCGCTCCGCCCGAAAAGCTTCGGGATGGGCGCCCACGGCCCTGGCATCCTTGTCGCGCATCCTTGTGGTGCGGGCCGGCTGTACCCCGGACCGCAGTTATATCCCGGATAGTGCGAAGGGCGGTCCAGGATAAATGTTTCCGCCGTCGTGGGCGTCTGCCCCCCGGGCGGCTGGAAAATTTACACCCCTACGTGGCACCGTCGGGGCATCAACGTTGCAGCCGCCCGCGGGGCAGGCGTTCCCGCTGGCGGAACAGTTTATATTATACCGTTCTTCGCCTTCCTCCTCCTCCTCCTCCTCCTCCTCCTCCTCCTCCTCCTCCTCCTCCTCCTCCTCCTCCCCCTCCAAGCTTTGTTAGCTCGCTGTTTCATGTCATGTTTGTCCGTTTCACCCCTTTTTTTTTCTGCCAACGCACCATGACGTGCACGGCGTCTGTTTGTCGTTCTTCGCCCCCCAAAGTTCAAGCGTCCAAGAGGGGGTCCTGTGCTTGGTGGGTCTCGGAGGCGGCAGGGCCGGTTTGTTCACCGTTTTCGAAAAAGTCCACCATGAAACGGAAACGGCAAAGAAGCGGCGGCCGGAAGCGGCAATAAAAGGGCTTCGTGATAGGAGCCAGAGACGGAATCTGAAACGAAACAACGGCGACGGAGTCGGCAAAAGAACGGCGTCGGAACCTGCAACAAAAAATGCAAAACGGAACCAGTAACAATAACGGTCTTGTCAATTCCAGGGCCCACTAAGGTAAAGTCGGGCGTGTCCCCCTACAGGAGGAATTTTCCAGAAGAGTAAACAGAATGGGTGACGATTCTTGTTTCGTGATAGTTTGACTGCGGTGGAGTATCTTCGAGTATTTGTTATTATTTGTCGACGGGAATCCCCCTGCAGGAGGACATACCCGATTTAACACTAAGGTCCTTCGATGTCTGTTGATGGGAGCCTCGGGAGGCGACATTGAAATCAGGTTTTCCTGCATTTGGACCGCATTTGGCCCTGTCTCCTGCTTCTCCTCGCCCTCTCTGCTCCTCCTCCCCCTCTTTCTTCTGTTCGTCTCCCCTGTGAGCGGGCGAACCCGGTCCAAGTCCGGTCCCAAGTGTGTTCCAAATCTGGCCCAAGTCCAGCCCGAATCGGGCAGCGCTGGGGGCCACGTAGGCTCCCATGGAGCAGACACCAAGAGGTCCTGGGCTTCAGTCGGGCGTGCCCCCCTACAGGGGAACTTTCGACGAGAGATCAAAAAAAAGGCCCCCATACCCCAAAAAGGTAAACAAATGTTCAAAAAGTAGTCCCCAGACTAGTTTTGGATTCTCTTGTGGCTATTTTTGGTGTACTCCAGATCTCGTAATAAAAGGGAGGGGGTCTGGACCCTCCAAGACAAGCCATTTCAGACTTCCCCCGTGGGAGAACCCTCCAGAACATCGTCCCCAGACCCCCCCCCAGGCCCTCCGAGATAGCCTGGAAGAGACCCCCCCCCCCGAAATGAGACCCCCCTCCCTTTATTGCGAAATCTGGGCTCGAAATCCAGTTTTCCACCGCCGCCACCAGAAGTTGGAGGAGGAGGAGGAGGAGGAGGAGGAGGAGGAGGAGGAGGACGCCGTCGAAACGCCTGGGCGCCCGCCCCCGAGGCGAAGGGGCGCGCGGACGGCGAGGGCGACACGGGCCGCACGGGGCGGCCGTGCGGCACCGGCGGCGCCCCTGCGCGGGCCCCCGGCGGGGGCGCGCCGCGGGAGGCGGGGCTGTCGCCGCGCAGCAAGTGCAGGAGGGGAAAAAAGCACACAGACACACAGACACACAGACACACAGACACACAGACACACACACACAGACACACACACACACACACACAGAGACACACAGACACACAGACACACAGACACACATACACAGTCACAGACACACAGACACAGACACACAGACACACACTCACACACACACACTGACAATTCATCGTCGATTCCCAAGAAAATATGGGAAAATATGGGAAGCGTGGGGGAAGACAAAAACCCAGAACATATGGGAAAATGTTGGGAATCCTGTTATGTGTGTGTGTGTGTGTGTCTGTGTGTGTGTCTGTGTCTGTGTCTGTGTCTGTGTCTGTGTCTGTGTGTGTGTCTGTGTCTGTGTCTGTGTCTGTGTCTGTGTCTGTGTCTGTGTGTCTGTGTGTGTCTGTGTGTGTCTGTGTGTGTCTGTGCATTTCTTTGTGTGTCCCAGGGCCCCTTGACAGGTGCCTGGCAGAGGCCATGCAGGGCAGGGGCGACGCCAGAAGGGCCATGGAGGCCAGAGGCGGCAATCGGCGGCGAGCGAGGGGGGGCGGGGGGGGATCAGGGGAGGGAGGGGCGACCACAACCGCTACAATCCTGGCTCGTTCCCGACTCCTGGGGCCTCCTGGGAGGCCCTCGTCGCCACCGCCGGAGTCGCCTCGAAATCCTGGTCAGAGGGCGCCCCGGGAGGCCCAGGGAGTAGCGGTCTATCGGTGCTTCTGTTTGCCGAGAAGCGAGGAGGAGGAGAAGCGAGGAGGCGGCATTCTCGGCAGGCGGGGCTGCTCAGAGGCCCCCCAGCCTTCTGGGGACTTTCCCGTGTCTCCTGGGAAGGCTCAGAAGGAGGAGACGGAGAAGAAGGAAGGTTTTGCCCAGAAGCAAGGAGGAGGAGGAGGAGGAGGAGGAGGAGGAGATGCCTCCGAGGCGCGCCGCCGAGGCAGGCTGCCCAGGCCCCCTCAAGCCAGGAAGAGATCTTCCTCCTCCCTCCTCCTTATCCCTCCTCCTCCTCCTCCTCCTCCTCCTCCTCCTCCTCCTCCTCCCCCTCCTCCTCCTCCTCCTCCCCCTCCTCCTCCCCCTCCTCCTCCTCCTCCTGCCCCGCGGCAGGAAACTATTTCTGCGGACACGGCGTGGCGGGTCGCAGTCCGTAAGTGTTGCGATGCCACGTGGTAGAGGTTGCGTGCTGATGTGCGTTTCGTGCTCTGCATTTTGCGTGCTTGCTTCAGCCTTTGGCGGGAGCCCCTGCTGGGCCTCGGGGCTGTCAGGAGACGGCTCGGGGTGAAGAGCCAGCTGGTCCCAGGGACGGGGTCCCGACTTTTGGGTCCAGCGTTGATCCAAGAAGCCCTCGCGAACCTCAGAAAGTATATGCTCATGCCACTGTTTGCTCCTCTACGGTGCCCAGGCAGAACGTGTCCACACCCATGGTGGTAATTAAGGCGATCCAACATGATTACAAGCACCATTGCAACATGCCTTTGCTTCTCACCCCTCCCCCCAGGCCCGAAGTCGAAGTTGTCTACATGTTGTCCCTGGCCTTGGGCCTGCCGCCCAAACCTGTCACGTTTTGGTCCGACGTGCTTTGATAAGTGAAGGTCTGGGCGAGACACGTGCGGACACTTTCAGTCCACCCACCGTAGTGCCCTTCGCGCACCTGAGCCGCAGGCCTGAAGGAATCCCCGGGCCCCCACTGGCGCAGGCCTTGGCCCTCGGGGCACCTCAAAGAGGAGGGCCCCTTGGCAGGCCCCGCGCCCTCCTAGGGAGACCCGCCCCCGCCCGCCCCTCTGCTTCCTGCCCCCCCCCCCACCGGCGGCGCCCACCGAGGCCTGGGGCGCCGAGCTGGGCCTGGACGAGCGCGAGGTCCGAGCCGCGGAGCTGATTGGCACCGGCAGCACCGCCAGGGTCTTCGCCGGCTCCTGGAAGGGCCACCAGGTTCGGGAGCTTTGAGACGGGGGTCAGTGCAGACGGGGGTCAGCCAGGGCGCCGGATCCTGCAGGATCCTGCGAAGGCCCCCTCTGGCTGACCGGGGTCAGGGAGCCGCTCGTGGCCGCGAGGCGGCCGCACATATTGGCTGACCCCGGTTTTCGAAGACCTGCGTTGCAGTTTTTTGGTTTCCTGCTGACCCGGGTCTGGATGACCCGGGTCAGAAGATCCCCGACAGGTGGCCGTGAAGCGGCTGGAAGCGGACTGCGAATCGACGAACGTCCTCATCAGGGAGCTGGGCGCGATGTCGCGCACGCGGCACCCGAACGTGGTGCGCCTGGTCGGCTTCTGCTTCGGCGCGGGCACAAGCGACCTGGTGCTGGAGCTGTGTCGGGGCGGCTCCCTCTTCAGCCTGCTGTACATGTCCGACGTGGAGGTGGTGCCAAGACAGCAGTTCAAGGTGTCGGGCCTGCTCTTGTCCTTCTCTTCCCTCCTCCCTGTCCGTTTTTTTGGCGACCGCTCTGCCCACTCGGTGTGTTGCCCGTCTCACACACTGTGTTGTCCTCTGCTCGGCATCTTCTGGCTTGGTGGGGTCCCCTTCACATCAGCTGTGAGGCCAGCAGTTGTCACCACTGGGGTAAAAGTATTCCAAGCGCAACTAGGACCCCACGTGAGAACCTCTTTCAGTTTGCTTGAAGGTAACCGCCAATGCCGTCCTTGTGCTTCGTGGTTCCCCTTCTCCTCCTTTCTCCTCCTCCCCTCATCGTTGTGGAAGTCGATCAATGGAGAGGGAGCATGCTGCCACATAATTTCTAGATGTCTAAAACATGTGTTAAACATGTTTTACACATGTAATAGACATGCTTCAAACATGCTCAGAACATTGTTCTGACAGTTTCAACACGTTAAACTCAAGGATAGAATTGTTCGGGTGTCCATTGTCGTGGCATCCACAAACTCATCGCTCCGCTGGGACAGCTCCGCGGGCCGCTGGGGTGCGGGAGCAGGGCGTTGGGACAGCCCCGCGGGCCTGCGCCTCAGCGCCGCTCGCAGAGGAGGCCACAGCAACCCCTCGGCCGGATAATTTGCACGAGACGGAGTTATCATGGGGGCGCGCATCAAGAAACCACATGCTTTTCGTCAGGGTAGCCTGGGTTTCTTCACTCCTCGCGCTGCGCGGTGACTTCCCGCGGCCGTAGAAGGAGCTGCTGCGTCCAGGGTGCTCGGGGGTTCCCCTCAGGTGTACCTCGCGCACGGGTTCTCAGGGTTGGGTTTCTTGCGAGGGTTTCTTGCGGCCGCGCCCGCCTGATTGACTTTTCGATATTCAGTGGCTGTCGCCGCATTGCCGACCCCTTGGGGCGGCAGTAAGGGTGACAAAACGGAGTCTGCGGAGCGCGCGCGATGTCTGAGGAATCTTGGGTTGACGGGAAGCGCTATCTCGGAACGAGAAGGTGATGGGAGGTTTCTAGCATTATTGCATGAGGTATAAATCCAGGAACTAAGACGCGAGGGACAAGCGGCTGCCGTCCGTAAAGGTACATCGCTTGGCGGATCACCCTCAATATGGCCGTTTCGCTCGAGACATCCTCGAATGATCGAGATGTTGAACTCATATGTTTGAGACACCTTTCGTTAAACATGAGGCTCCTGTTCGAGACATCCTCGAAACATGAGTTTCGGAGCTCGCTCACGAAATTCAGCGAATCGTTGGACATTGCCGTTTCTCTAGAGACATCCTCGAACAATTGAGATGTTGAAGCCGGGTGGTTAAGACGTCTTTCGTTAAAAATAAGGTTCTCGCTAGAGACATCCTCGGAAAACGGTATTCGCAGCATCTTAGCTCGGGGTCCTGTCTCCTCCCTCTCCTCCGTTTCCTCCGCCTCTGAGGTATCCTCCGTCTCTGAGGTCTCCGTCTCTGAGGTCTCCTCTCCTCCGTCTCTGAGGTCTCCTCCGTCTCTCCTCCGTCTCTCCTCCGTCTCCTCCGTCCTCCTCCCCTCCTCTTCCCCCTCCTCCTCCTCCTCCTTCTCCTCCTCCTCTTTCTTCTCCTCCTCCTCCTCCTCCTCCTCCTCCTCCTCCTCCTCCTCCTCCTCATTCTCTTCCTCCTTCATCGCGCACGCACGCCGTAAATCCCCCCCCGCCCGTCGCCCCCATACACACATCCCGCACGCACGCCATAGATCCCGCCCGCCCGTCGCCCCCATAACACATCCCGCACGCACGCCGTACATCCCCCCCCGCCCGTCGCCCCCATAACACATCCCGTAGGCACGCCGTACATCTCCCCCGTCCGTCGCCCCCACAACACATCCCGCATTCACGCCGTACGTTGCCCCCTCCTGCGGCTCCCATAACATTGCCCTGCACATACGCGCGCAAGCACGCACACAACTGCTCACATCCGTAGACAGTTTGGCTCAAGCCGTTCTGGCCCAGGTGGGCTTGGTACAGCAAACACTCAGAGCGGCTAGTGCTGTACCGAGTCGAAGTGGCTCGTTTGCATTGCCACTCTCGCCCGGCGGGGCACACCGATGGCGAATGTCGGGACGCATTGGAAATGCCCATGCTGCCCGAAGTTCAATCCGATCAGCAAATTCAAGTGCGCCCAGTCGGGGTGCGGCGGAGTTCGGCCCGGCCCAGCACCCGCTCCCCGACCGTGGCACCAGGCTGGAGGCAAGTGGGTTCATAGCGCTCCGCAGTTGGGGCCCGTCAAGCCTTCTCGCCGTCGTGGTGCTGCTGGTGCTACCTTGGATGATGCTGGTTTCAAATTGCATGTGGAACCCAGTCAAAAAGTCTGGGATCTGGTCAAGTCTAATCTGTCGCAGTCGAGCCGCGATCGCGTTCAGTATGCGAGGACGGCGGCAGCTGCGGGCTGGACTCCAGGCGTCACGAATTCTAACAATGTGGAGAAGTCTGCAAAAGCTTGCTCGCTGGTCAGCAGAAGCTGCAGGAGGCGAAGGAGGCCGCAGTCAACGCGATGGTCGCTTTGCAGAAGCAGCAGGAGGCTGTCGGAGTCTTGGAGAAGGAGCTGGCCGCGGCGAAGGAGGTGGCTGCCAAAGCCCTTGGCGCCTCAACCGCCCCGCCGAAGCTGGACCTCGGGCCCTTGCTGGAGCAGCTCAAGCAGTTGCAGGCAGGCGCAGGCCAGGCGAGCACCGTGGAGGCAGTCTTCACCGAAGTCCCCAAGGCCATCACTGACTTTGCCAGCAAGCAGCAGGCCGCCCCAGCGCCGCCACCACCAGCACCCACGGCCGGTGCTGGCGCCGACGGCGGCGGCGGGAGCCAAGCTGCAGCAGGCGCGGAGGACTCTGCCATGGGCGAAGGTGATCCTGGCTTCGATGGCCATCTTCAAGGCGAGGACGCAGGTGGCCTCTTGGCAGGGGCAGCCAGCCCTGAAGAGCGCAAGCGACTTTTCGAGGCGCTCGAGCTCCTGCGCGCGGAGTCCAAGCGGAGGAAGACGCATTCCTAGTGCAGCTCGACGCGAGCCTTCTTGGCTGGGCTCGCAGTGATTGCCAACGCTTACTTCATTTTTGGGTACTTTATCGATTGCGAGGAGATCTTGCGGTCGGACTTCGTCGCTGTCCAAGAGACGCATCTATCTGTTGAGCGCAGCAGCGAGGTGGCATCGCGACTAGCCAGGTTGGGCTGCATGTTCATGCGGCTCCAGCGGCAGGTGCAGGGCCAGGGCTTCCTGGGCATGGAGGTTGGCTTCTGCTTTCGCCGCGGATCCAGGGCATGGGGAAGTTCGACGGCGTCGGCAGCTCGGTCATAGACATCGGGCGCGCAATCTTCGTACATCGCTCTGGCTTCTGCGCAGGGGGCATCGTGCTGGTCGCCGTCTACCTGCGCACTGCGGAAGGCCCCTCCTTCGCCAATGAGGCCATCCTGCACAGAGTGGCCACGGCGCCGCAGGTCCTGGGGCGCCCGTTCGTCACCAGCGGCGACTTCAACACGGACCCTGCGGCGCTGGAGCCCCCCTCGTTCCTCGAACGTTTCGGCGGGCGCGTCATCGTGCCAAGCACGGGCGCGTTCAGGCCGTCAGAGCACGCGATCGACCATTTCGCAGTGTCGAGCCAGTTCCGCGTGGCCAACGCCGAGGTCCTATACGACTGGGAGTTTGGACCTCACCGGCCCGTCAGGCTCACCATCGACGGGGCGCCGATCGACGACTGGGCGCAGGTCATGCGCGCCGCGAAGGCCTTCCCCAGTCTCTTTCCCGCAGGCTGCAGCACGCGCGACTTCTCTGCCGACTGGCGCTCGCTGCAGGGGGGCGCGGATGATGCGGGCGCCGCGCGGAAGCAGTTTATCGGCGTCGCCGAAACATGTCTACGCGATCTTGCCGGGCTCGATCTCGGCGAGTATGGGGCGCGAGGTCAAAGACCGGATCTTGCGTGGGCGCGTGATTGTCCGCCTTCGGCTCCTCGCAGTCCAAAGGTTAGCAAACCTGCGATGTGGCTGAAGGACGCGGCGTTGGCAGCGGCCGACGGAGTGAGCGATGATCCCTTCGCGCTGTCGACAGACGCCGGAAGCATCCTCCTGACACTCTGCGGCGCAAGGTGGTGGCCCTCCTATGCCGCGCGCGTGGCTACATGCGCGCGGTGGGCGAGGAGTGCTTGGCTGCGATCACCAAGCAAATCGCCGACGAAGCTGTGGCGCATGATGTGAACGAGTCGAAGGCTCGGTTTGGCGACTGGATCGACTCCCAGGCCGCCGATGGAGCTGCCGCACTTCACGCGCTCGCCAAGGAACCCGCGGCCAACGCCCCGGCGGCCGGCGGCCCAAGGGGCCGAGGTGCCGCTAGGCAAAGTGTACGCCTTGGGCGCTCGTGGCCGAGTGGGCTGGCAACTGGCGCACCTCGGCTCCACCGCCTCGCCCGCAGTGGCCTGCCCACCTCGGGGAGCGGCCCGAGCGGCCCACGGCCGATCTGCTACGTGGGGCGCGCGCGACCTTCAAGGTGCACGGCGGCCGCGACTTCGACAGCTTCAATCCTCGCGATTTCGGAGCGCTTGACGACGCTGGCCCTGGCCGACCTGATTGCGCTGGTGGAGGCCTTGGCCAACCTGATTGCGCTGGTGGAGGCTCGCTCTTCTTGGCCTGTGTTTGTGAACAAGCTCGCGTTAGTTCCCTGGCGAGAGGGTGGCGTGCGACCGGTTGACCTGCCTCAGCATTTGCACGCGTGCATGGGCGTTTGGTGCGGCCCATTGCCGCCGCGTGGGAGCCCACGCACAATCGCGCTTACTGGCGGGCGTCTTCAGACAAGAGTTGCGATGGCGCTGCATGGCGACAATTAGTTTGGAGCGAGTGGGTTGCGATGCAGTGCGATCAAGATCCCAGCGCTGACTGGGCCACTGCTACGCTGTTATTGGACTTGTGGAAAGCCTTCGAGCAGATGCGACGTGGCAATTTGCTGCGACCGGCCCAGAAGTACCCCTTCCCTCTGTGGCTGCTGAAGATGCAGCTGGACATGTGCACCTAGGCGCGGGCACTGGAGCTCGGCGGCGCAGTTTCTGATTTCTTTCATCTACGTGCATCAGACGGTCTTGGCAGGCGGCTCCTTCGCCGCGGCTTTCATGCCATTGCAGCTCATCGAGTCCGTGGACCGCGCGCAGCAGATATGCCCCGCAGTCTCACCAGCCATCGTCGTGGACGACCTTGCGCTGCAGAGGCACGGGGGTGAGAAGCGAGTGGCGGGGGACATCGCGATGGCAGCGCAGGTGTTGGTGAACGGACTTGCCAGGGACAGCATCCGCATCGCTACTAAGAAGTCCCATGTCTTAGTCTCTACCTCGGCCTTGGCCCAGGCGCTGCAGGAGACGCTCTCGGGGACCGCGGGGGCGCAGGCTGTTCGGCATGCCAGGGGCGCTGGCACCGGTTTCGCCCGAGGGCGCGTGCTAGGGCGAGCGGCAATGCGAGCGCGACTTCGAGCTGCTGGTCGACGCGCGCCCTGAGTGCGGCAACTCCTGGACAATGGAGGTCGACGCGCGGTCGCTGCTCGCCTCGCCGAGCAGGGCCTCGAGGCAAGTTGCGCGCGCAGTGTCAACTGCGCGGGGCTAGGCGACGGCGATCTTCAGGCTGGTCGCCCTACGGCATTCCGCGCCACCGAGGCCCGCGAGTAGACGGCAAGAGTCGCGCGCTAAGTCTCACGCTGTCGCCCGCGCGTGGGCTCGACCCCACTTTTTGAGCCGCGATCGATCCAGCGCGCGCGCTGCGCCGCGCGGTTTGGGACAGTTGACCGCCGCAGTCTATATTGTCACCTGCGCTGAGATGGACGTCTACACGCGTTGCGACGTGGGCTCAAGTTCTTGGGCCCATCAGCGCAGCCTTCGCGTCGCTGCTGCGCGCCGGGCGGGCTGCCGCCAGCGTCGGCACGTGGGTCAACGCGGCCAACGGGGCAGACCCCACAGGCCGCTGGGTTATTCTCCTTGGTAGACCATGCAGTTGGCGAAGAAAGCGGTGACGCGGTGGCAGTTTCAGAAGATTGCCGACGAGCTGCCGCACGTGGACAGTGGCTTCCACATCCTGCAGCTGAGGAAGTGGATCCACCTCGGGAGGCCCACGGCGTCAGAAGGCAGGGGGTGGCCGAATCTCGGTGCTCAAGAGCGTCGTTACGCACGATCCCTTTTTGTTAGTGGTCAGCGGGTCAAACATCGTCGATATCACAACAACCCTCGGTATGCACATTCGGAAGGTTGCAAGGCTTGTCCTGGGAAGGTTGGCGCGCTCTGGCATCGACGCATGGAGCGCGCTTACCATTGGCCGCAGTCGTGCTTGCCAGCGGCCATCGAGGCGCTCAAGCGACAGACCGAGCCCAACATCATCGCGCTCGTTGAGAGACTGCTGATGGTCAGGCCGAACGTGCTATGGCGCGCGCCTCAGGATGAGCTTCTATCCTCGGTCAAATGATTGCCCAGAACCGGCGCGATGTCTGTTCACAACGAAGGATTGTTCACGGACGGCTCGGCCTTCCACCTCGACATCGACTTCGGAATGGTTGGTTTTGCCGTGGTGTTGACCCCTCTTGGCCCCGACTAGCACGATCCAGGCCCAACGTGTGCCACGCGCGCCTTAGGCCCGCCCTTGGCGGGGGTCGCCGCGAGGATCGACGCCAGCTGCGCGGTCGACGTCCATTGGTTCGCGGGCGAGAAGGCACGTGCGGAGCCTCGCACAGATGGGCCTTCCCGTGGAGATTGATTTGGGATGCCATCGACGACTTTGAAGGGATCTGTGCCGAAGGGCTAACGGTCTACAAAGTCAAAGTGCGTGACGCTATGAGCGGTTGGAGCTGGACGGCTGACGCGTTGGGAGCGCCGTGGCAACCTCGAGGCCGCCTACTGGGCGATGGTGGCCACTCGCCCGTGCGCTTTGGGAGATGCTGACAGGAACGAGGTCGAGCGCACCAACCTCGCGGTGGACGGCGCGGGGGCCTGGGTCTCTTGCGCAGGTGCCCCAGCAGCGGCCGCCCGCGATGACACAGACGCGGGCGCGGTTATCAAGCATCGGCCAAAGATTGCGTTGAGCCTCGCCGAGCACGGCTTCGCGGTGGAGGCAGACTGCCGGCGGTGTTCAAGGTGCGGGCGCTACGCGCGCGCAGAGGGTTCCAAGCGCAGTTTGTTCAACAGGCCGCGCCCGCCTCGGCCCGTCACCAGCCCGCCGCGCCCCGTGGAGTCGGAGAGCTCGGGGGCGAAGCGTCCTGCAGCAGCGGCAGGATTGCTGGCGGCGACGGCCTTGGCGGCCGCTGCGGCGTCGCAAGGCAGCGAAGGCGGGTCGCGTGAAGACGACCAACGAGGAGGAGAAAGCAACCAGCACCAGTCTGAACCAGCCTCTCCCGGCGCGGTCAGTGCGGGCACAGCGGCCCCAGCTGCTGCGCAAGTGGGTGCTCGGGGCCACGAGATCCGCATCGCGCGCGGGTACCGCGCGTGCATGAAATGTTGCTATTTCGCTTGTGAACGAGAAGGCCTGCTTCGCGAACTTGGGAAAAAGTGCGCAGGCCCACCCTTGAAGAGCGACAGCGCAGGCCGTGTGCGGCGGCAGCGGAGAGATTTGATTGTTTTTGGGAAGGATCCCGCGGCGCGGAAGCCTCTGTCACAAAGATGAGTGGCAATCTTGCGGCCGTTGCCTCTGTTGCCGTGGGCTCCCGCAGGTTCGCTGCGATATCACCGTGGGGCTCTGTGCTTGTGGCGCGTGGGCCCTTGGAGGCACGTTGCAGAAACCCGCTGGCAGAAGCCCCTGTCTCGCTTCAGCGCTGTCTGCGGTTGTTGTGATTCTGCACGCTTCGCGTGACGTCCCTCCTGAGTCGACTTGTGGTTCGTCTCGATGTTGCGCGTCTCGCTTGCCACAGTTGTTAATCGTGATATATGCACGCTTCGCGCGATGACCCTCCAAGGCGAGTTGCGTCTTGCGTGTTTGTGTAATTCGTCCACGCTCTTCGCGTGGCCAGGCCTCCGAGGGTGGGAGTTTCCGCACGCTTCGCGTGCCGCACTCGCACTAAGGGTGAATTTCGCCGTGCCCCTGCTGTGGCGTGGACTGTGGGGTCCTGCCGAAATCTTGCAGTTTGCGGTTGGGCCGAGGGGATCGGTCGTGGCGGCCCTGGAGGCTGCTGCGTGTACAGATTTGCTGCGCGCGCTCGCACGAGTTAAAAACACAGCTGCTCACACAGGCACATTCACAGGCACGCGTGCATACACGCACGTTCGCACCAGAGTAACCACAACAACCACAGGCAACCATTAAGCTCAGAGAAGCAACCACTAATCCCGCTCTCCGCGTGTGCCCAACCAGACATAATCGAACAAACCTTGTGGACAAATCGGCGCTTCCCGTTCTTGCCCGGTCAGGTTTCTGCTTCTTGGGATTTCGCCGTGGGCGGTTGGCAGATCGCGGCTCTGCTCTTGGGCTTCTCTGGGCTCTCCTGGCAGTATTTTTGAGGCCTCTCGGGGACCGTGTTGAGGCCTCTTCTGGGCCTCTTAGGGCCTCTTTTGAGCCTTGTCCTGTGCGTTTTCGCATTTTTCTGATTGAGTTACGAGGCGAACGGGGTTTCAGGGTTTCAAACGCATAGTGACCCTGTCCTGTCCCATTTCCAGTCGATGCTCCTGCTAATGGGGGTTCTTAATCCCTTGCCCTAGTATACTGTCCAATGCCGTCTGACGGTTTTTGTCTTGCTGCTTATGTACTATCGGCGCCGCTTCGCGTCGCCACTTCTCATCTCTGGCTCGGGTCTCCTCCTCGGTGGTGTGTTGGTGCTTTGGTCCCTGGTCTTCCTCCTCTCCTCCTCCTGTGCGTCTCGTTCGCTCGCCGCTGCGCCCTTTGGTGGAATCGCCCGGGACGCCCGCCACATAGAAATGTTGGGGTGGCCTGGGGTGTAGCAGGGGATGAGGATGAGGATGATGATGATGATGATGATGATGATGATGATGCTGATGATGCTGATGATGTTGTTGATGATGATGATGACGCTGTTGATACGGATGTTGATGATGATGCTGATTATGAGGATAGTGAAGGTGATGATGATGATGACGATGGTGATGACTACTGATGATGATGATGATGATGATGATGATGATGATGATGATGATGATGGTGGTGATGATGATAATGCTGATGATGCTGATGATGCTGATGATGCTGATGCTGATGCTGATGCTGATGCTGATGCTGATGCTGATGATGCTGATGATGATGATAATGGCATTGTGCATGTGCGCGTGTGATCATGATGGGGTTCGTTGTCATGGAGGGTGAGGTGCTTTCTCATGCGAGTGGGGCGGCCCAGGGGGCAAGCAAGACACCCACTGCGGACGTGGGGAGCGAGCGAGCGAGCCACACGAAGAGGCCCGTCGGCTGCTCGGCCCTATGCAGGGCACGGGTGAACAGCCCGCCTACCAATCAGACAGCGTGGGCCATTGAGATATTGGGAATGCGGGAAAGCAGGACAACAACACCACTCAGCGCTCCACTGGTGGCACGGGAGTGCGCAGCCGATGCGGATGACGGGGAACGGCGCTCCCAGAGAAGCCCGGCAGCCCCAGGTGGCCTGGGACGTCGCCGAGGGCATGGCGTACCTGCACGGGCTCGCGGACCCCGTGCTCCACCGCGACCTGAAGTCGCTGAACGTGCTGCTCCGCCAGCCCGTGCGCTCCCCGACCGACGTGCCGCTCGCCAAGGTGGCGGACTTCGGCCTCGCCAAGGTGTTTACCAGCCTGGAACATGTCCCCGTCCCTGTGCCGGGCGTCTCCTCAGCACGCTGCCAACCTTAGGGATCCCCTTACTTTTTGAGGGCGCATCCCTAAGATTGTCATCGCCTTTGGGCGCGTCAATCTTAGTGGAGGATGGCGATTAATAAATGACCGGGGGTCGTGTTCACGCGGCGGTGCCCGGGATGACGATTAGAAAAAACCGGCCGCGGGCTGGAAAACTAGTTTTTTTTATCGCTCTCCCCCCGTCAGAAGATTGTGCAGAAAGAGCAGACGACTTTTTTTTTGTAGTTCTCTCCCATTTTTTCTCAACCTTCATCCCGCATTATCAGAGCCCCGAATCATCAGGGGTAGCTCGGGTCAGGGCTAACTCGGGTTCGCTTTTCGGGATTCCGAACCTGAGTTACCCCGGGCCCGAGTTACCCCGGATAATTCGGGCGGCCCCAAAATCATCAGGGGTAACTCGGGTCAGGGCAAACTCGGGTTCCTTTTTCGGGAATCCAAGCCCGAGTTACCCCGGGCCCGAGTTACCCCGGATAACTCGGGCGCCCAGAGCCCCAAAAACATCAGGGGCAACTCGGGTGCGGGTTACCCCGGACCCGAGTTACCCCGTAGAACTCGGGCGCCCAACATCAGGGATAGAAACACATAGACACAGTTAATCCTCCACTCCCCAGCAAGTACGGGCAATGATGGGAAGTGGGGGGGGGAAGACAGAAACCTAGAAAACATGGGAAAACATTGGAAAACATTAGAAAACATTGGAAAATATAGGAAAACATGGGAAAACATGGGAAAACATGGGCAAACATGGGAAAACAAGGGGGAACATTAGAAAATATGGGAAAATATAAGAAAACATGGGAAAGTATGGTTATTTGTGTGTATTTATTGGGGCCCCTTCAAAGGTCTGCGCCCGCGCGGGTGCCCCGCCGCGGGGCGGCCGGCGCGGCCCTGCGGGCCCCGCGGCGGGGCGCCGGAGCTCCTGCGGCGAGGCCCGCGAGGGCGGGGGCGGGGGCAGCAAACGAAAACGGCCCGAGCGCTGCTCCGCCCAGGGCGGCGGGGCTCCGAGGCGCGGCGGGGGGGGGACGCCGAGGGCCGCCGAGCCCAGACCCCCTCGCGCTGGGAAAAAACGCGACGGGGAGTTTTTCGCTAGTTTCTCCCTTTGAGGGCCCTTCCTGGGCCGCGGGACCGTCAAAAAACGACTCAGGCTGAAAAGCCGGTCCCGGGGAAGAGGTCCAGACCCTTGGGGGTCGACGTTGTGAAAAAATCGCTCGGGCGTGTGCGTTTTTTCCTCGGCGAGGACCATCGAGGAGCATCCTTGATCACTTGGCGAAGAAACCACGCACGAAGCCGAACAAAAACACAGGGAATGGACGTCCTGCGGCGAGGCCGCGGGGGCGGGGGCAGCAAATTACGGCCCGAGCGCTGATCTTCCAGGATGGCTAAAAAATAGCACCCGACTTGAAAACCGATCCCAAAGCTATTCTACGTCTTGGTTTTAGGCCGTTTCGCTCAGCGTTTTAGGTTTCTAGGGCTCCAGTGCTAAGAAGTAGCTCTCTGGAAGGTCAGGGGAGTTGCTCTGCCCCGGGCGCCGCGGGGCTCCGAGGCGCGGCCGAGGGGGGGACGCCGAGGGCCGCTTGGGCCGGGCGAAAGGGGGGATTGGGAAAGGGGGGGGGCTACGAAATGTGCGGCGTGCAGCCGGTTTCGGCCTCACCGAGGGGCCCATTCCTCGATACATAGCCGCCTCCGGCGCCGGGAGGCCGCGGGGGGGGGCAGAACAAAAGCGGCCCGAGCTGCTCTGCCCAGGGCGGCGCGGGGGTCCGAGGCGCGGCGGGGAGGGACGCCCAGGGCGCTTGGCATCGCTCGGGCGTGTGCGTTTTTTCCTCGGCGAGGACCATCGAGGAGCATCCTTGATCACTTGGCGAAGAAACCACGCGCGAAGCCGAACAAAAACACACAGGGAATGGACGTCCTGCGGCGAGGCCGCGGGGGCGGGGGCAGCAAATTACGGCCCGAGCGCTGCTCTGCCCAGGGCGGCGGGGCTCCGAGGCGCGGCGGGGGGGGACGCCGAGGGCCGCTCGGGCCGGGCGAAAGGGGGGATTGGGAAAGGAAGGGGGTCTACGAAATGTGCGGCGGGCAGCCGGTTTCGGCCTCACCGAGGGGCCCATTCCTCGATACGTAGCCGCCTCCGGCGCCGGGAGGCCGCGGGGGGGGGCGGCAAAAACGGCCCGAGCTGCTCTGTCCCCCTTGCGGCGGGGGTCCGAGGCGCGGCCGGGGGGACGTCGAGGGATCGCAGGCCGAGAGGTTGACACCAACACCAAGATCCGCGGTGTGCGTCCACCGAGGCAGGACGATCCCCATCTCGGTGGTGGTGGTAATGAGTTTGGTTTCCAGGGTGACCGACATATGACCACCAAGACCGAAATCTAGGAGCAGTTTCCCCATGTGGAGGCAACCTCTTGTGCTGGAGTTGGTGCCAATTTCCACGCCTCCAAAGGGACGCCGAGGGGCGCGGAGCGAGGCACGGCAGGGGAGCAGAGGCGAGGCGCGGAGAGGGGGGGGGGGCGTGGGAGAGAGGGGAGGCCTCGCGGGCGGCGGGGCGGCACGGGCGGAGGCACAGCCGCGGAGGCACTCGGAGCTCGTCCCCGGAGCTGTCGGCCCTGCGCTACAGGCCCCCCGTTGGCGGCGCCTCCGGCGGCCGCCTCTGGCGCGCTGCCGGAGTGACATTCTCAGCTGCCTCGGTACGCCCGTCTTGATGCGCAGCACGTGCCGTGTTGAATTCAAGAGGTCCGTGTCAATACGTTGCGTGTTGGCCCCACGTGCTGGCCCCCACGCTTCGGCGAACGCATCGCGTCGGACCTGCGTTTCCAGTCCACGTGTTGAGCTCCGTATCAATACGCGACGTGTCGGAGGGCGGAGGGCGGAGGGAGGAGGAAGGAGGGAGGCGGATTTTGGATTGCACGCGCGTTGAACCTGGCGGCTGTCGCGAAAGAGTGGGAGGGAGGCGGATGGAGGGAGGTGGGAGGAGCGAGGAGGGAGGAGGGAGGAGGGAGGGGCGAGGAGCGAGGAGGGAGGTGGGAGGAGCGACGAGGGGGGAGGGAGGAGGAGGGCGGAGGGAGGAGGGAGGGGGGGAGGAGGCGCGTGTTGCGCCTCGGGGCAGCTATAAGGTGGACGTGTGGTGCGGGCCCACGGGGGGGTCCCCCCCATGCACTGGCCGAGAGGCGCGCTCGGGGTGGGTGTGTGGCCGCCCCCCCCGCGGCCCCCCTTTGGGGAAGGCCGCGCGCCCAAGCCCCTCCTCCTCTCCCTCCTCCTCCTCCTCTCCTCCTCCTCCTCCTCCTCCTCCTCCTCCTCCTCCTCCTCCTCCCCCTCCTCCCCCTCCTCCACCTCCCTCCTCCTCCTCCTCCTCCTCCTCCTCCTCCTCCCTCCTCCCCCTCCTCCTCCTCCTCCTCCTCTTCTTCCTCCTCCTCCCCCTCCCTCCTTCTCCCCCTCCTCCTCCTCCTCCTCCTCCTCCTCCTCCTCCTCCTCCTCCTCCTCCTCCTCCTCCTCCTCCTCTTCCTCCTCCTGGGAGAGCGAGAGGCGGCGCAAACGGCCAGCGCCGCCCCTGGAGAGGGTCGCGCCAGGGGGGACGGTCCAGCGCAGACCCAAGCGATCCGCGCGGACCTCCGAAAGTTTGCGCCCATGCCGTTATTCGACTTAGCATCGAGCTGACCTTTGTCCCCAAGACTGACAAGCCCAAGAACGATGCTGATCTTAGGGATGCTCCCTCAGAAAGGGAGGGAACCCCAAAGATCGGCATCGAGGTAGGGCGATGCCAATAATGGGGATAGAGATCTGTCTCAGGCCTGTAACCTAGCTGCCTCGGTACGCCCGCTTTGAAACGCAACGCGCACCGTGCTCATAACATCCGTGCCAGTACGCTGCGTGTTGGCCTGGCGTATTGGCCCACGCTTTGGAGACCGCCTTGCGTCACACCTGCGAGTCCGGCCCACAGCGTGGAGCTCCGCACCACCACGCTGCACGTGTCGCGTGTTGCGTGGCGGGGCGGCCAAGGGAACCCCTCTCGGGCCGGTCAGCTTTCTTCTAGGCCTCCTAGATGGGGTCCGAGTAGATGAGGTCGGAGGATCGCGCCGCATCGCCGATGCATCGCCGATGCGGCTCGATGTGGAGCCCGGCTTCCTTCACGCGGACGTCGCCGATGCATCGCCGACGTCGCCGATGCATCGTGGATGCATCGCGGATGCATCAGCGATACATCGGCGATCCAGTGCAATCCTCCGACCCCATCTCTTGGCATCGCCCGGACGTGTGCATTTTGTTATCGGCAAGGGCCATCGAGGAACATGTTTCGTTCACGCTGCGGAAACAGACACGCGCGAAACCGAACAAAAATGCACAGGGAATGGGCGTCCAAGCGATGGCGAGATCTCCTCGGATCCCACCTACAGGAGGCCTCCAGTTCTGCTCCCGGAGGCGGGCGCGCCCGGCGCAGGCAGCCCGCCGGAGGGGGGCGCGTACCTGGCCAGCTGCGGCCCGCTCAGCGGCGAGCTCGGCGCGAGCGCGAGCTGGTCGACGAGGTCGGCTGGCACGCTGCAGTGGTCGGCGGCCCGAGCGAAGCGGGGGGAGGGGGGATGTTGTTGCGTGTGGTCTCCAGGAGGGTCCAAGAGCACAGGCCTCACTCAGGCTCGGAGGCTTCATCCTCCCAGGAGTCACCGTCACTGTCAGCTCTGCGGCCTCTCTCTGTGGAGATCCGCCCAATCTCTGCAGGGGGGACCTGTCGGAGGAGGGGGGGAGTGAGGGGGGTTCGGGGGAGGTGGGTTAGGCGGAGGGGGGGAAGGGGGAGGGTCTCAGGTCGGGCCTGTCCCTCTACAGGAGGAATCTTCAAAAATAGTTTAAAAAAAGTCTGGGGATTATGTTTTGACAATTTTTGAGCATTTGTCGTGTCATCTTCTGACTACTTCAAATTTTTCGCCCAGAATCCCCCTGTAGGTGGACAGGCCCGACTTAAGACTTGTCAGGGGAGGTCGGCCACGCGCAGAGGGGGGTCAGGGGGAGAGAGGGAAGGCTTCTTAGAAGCACCCCTGCTTCTTAGAAGGCGTGGGCCTTCTCTATAGATGTAGGGCCGGCGCCTTCGAAGAGGCAGCCTCCTTCTAAGAAGCCTCCCCCCTCCCCCTACCCCCATTGCACGCGCCGCCAAGGAGGACAAGGTACCTATACTGCTCCCCTCCGCCCGTTTTCCACACTTTTGGGGCTTCCTGGGAGGCTTTCGTCGCCACCGCTGGATTCGCCTCGAAAGCCTTGTCAGAACGCACCCCAGGAGAGATCCGGGGAGTAGCGGTATCGGTACCTTTTGGTTTCTCCAGGTTCCGAAATCTGCTGCATGCAGCTGGTTTCAGCCCCGCCGCCAGGCCCATTCCTCGATACATAGTATGGGCGCCTACCTAGGAGGCGCCAGGAAAGCCAGCTGCATAAGCCGTTTCTCTACCTTGCCCGCTGCTATCCTACCCTCTCGTTCCCCCCGAGGATGGCGCCAGAGGTCATGGCCGGGCGCACGGACTTCGAAGGCGAAACGTTGTTTTAGCACAAAGGCACTGGAGCTCCGCGCGGATTTCTTGGAATGAGGCTGTGGACCCCCCATCCCTGGCGTGCGGAGTGCGTCAGTGGTGGCGCTGGAGGCCGCCAAGGCGGGCCCGACGCCGAGCCAGGAGCACAGCGCGGAGCGTCCCCAGACCCCCGACGTCATGAATTTTTCATGACGTCGACCCCCAGAGGTCCGGACCCATTCCCCCGGACCGGTTTTTCGTCCTGAGTCGTTTTTTGACGGTCCCGAGGGCCGGTAAGGGCCCCAGAGGCCGAAAATCACGAAAAACCTCGCGTCGTGATTTTTTCATAACTCGAGGGCGTCTGGGTCGGAAGTTCATGCCTCTGCTCCTTTGTGCTCCTCCAGGACTACTCCCTCGAGGTCGACGTGTACGCCTACGGCATGCTGCTCTACGAGCTCACGTGCTTCGAGCCCCCGTTCGCCGACGTGGAGCACGCGGAGGTCGCGCGCCTCGTCCTCGAGGGCGCCAGGCCCGAGATCGACGAGGGCGCGATGCCGGCGGCGCTCGAGAAGCTGACGAGGGCCTGCTGGTCGCAGGATTCAAGCAGTGGCGAAGCGTCCTGGCTCGCCTACAGCCCTATCAAACAGTGTCCTAAGAACCTTTTTGGGGTTCCCACGAAGTGTTCTGAGAACAGGTCTGGTTGGGACCGTCTTGTTTTATCACATGGGGCTTATGTGCTAAGAACTTTTTTTTGCTCTCAGACAATTTTTGGATTGTGAGAACATTCCGTGGTAGGAATATAGGAATGCCGGGACGGTCGGTCCCTGCTCAAAGGATCCTGGCATGCGGCCCAGCTTCTCCTTCCTCGCTGGAGCTCGGGGAACAAGTACTGGCATGGCACGAACGTTTGGAGGTCCGCGCAGACTTCTTGGATCGGCGCTCGGTTCCCCTGGCGTCTCCCATTAGCGCCCTCCGCGCACCAGAGGGGGGAGGGGGTCCAGCGTCGATCCAAGAGATCCGCGTGAAGCTCCGAAAGTTTACGCTTATGTCAGTACTTGGTCGCGCAGGGGCGCTGGATGCGATCTGGCACAGCGTGTAGCCGCTGTCCAGGGGCTTCGCCGCCTGTCTCTAGGGAGGGCGCACCTGCCTGGTGCTTACGCTGCGCCAGGTGGTCCTGGTAGCAACGCTTGGAACTCGGGAGTCGACTGCGCAGGCTGCCCGCGTAAGGTCGCGAGTGCGCGCCCTGCTCTTCCACGCTTTCTGCCGCGCTGGCGGCATGCCAAAACCATCTAGTGAGATTGCCATGCCTCAGTATTAAGTCGGGCATGTCCATCTACAGGAGGAATATTCAAAAGTAGTCCAAACATAGTATGGGGGCGACTTTTTAAAAAATTATTCTTGGCATTGTTTGAACATTGTCTTGACTAATGTTTATCTTTCGTCGAAGATCCGCCTGTATGAGGACACGCCCGACCTAACCTTAGTACGTGAGATCCCCTTGTCCTAGGTCGCCCATGTGTTCGGCGCAAGGCATGAGTCCTGCTGCCCTTGCCCCTTCGTTCGGCGCAAGGCATGAGTCCTGCTGCCCTTGCCCCTTCGTTCGGCGGAAGGCATGAGTCCTGCTGCCCTTGCCCCTGTACCATACTCCACAAGGGTGATTCGCTCGGTGACCTGACCGAGGCAGGGGCGATCCGCTGACCCCGCTTGCTGCGGCAAGCGATCTTCGGACAGCTGGCAGCGAGGCGCAGGCAGTCGTTGTGCGGGAGCCCTGCGGGAGGTCTTGCTGTGTGGCATCTGCAGGAGGCATCTCTGCACCACCATGCCTGGCCAGGGCCATCTCGGGTGCAGTCGGGCATGGCCCTCTGCAGGAGGAAAATTCAAAAGAATCCGCCGACCCTGTCGGCGTGTGTGAGGGGCTTTTCCGTTCGAGCCGGGCTTTTCCGTTGGAGTCGTCGTCTCCGTCCTCCTCTGTTCCATTCCGTCCAAAGCAAAATCGGGGGGGGGGGGCGCGGTCCCCGGGGGTCCGGGAGGGGTCCTATTGGGGGGGGGTCCCAGGGGGCGGGTCGCCACCCGAATGCGTCTTCCTCCCGCGCCCTGGCCCGCTCCGGCCCCGGCCCTGGCCCCCGCTCTGGCCACAGCCCCAGGCTCAGACACGGCCCGCCCAAGGGGCCGCAGCCAGGGCTGGCGATGTACCCCCCGATATGATGATACCGCGTAGAATCTTCCAAGAGCTCACACGAATCAAGACTCACAGGGGACGCAGATAAACCCAATTCTGGAGCAACCCGAACTATTCTTGAACCCCTTCAGCCGGAACTGCTCGATGAAAACACCCCCCTGCATGTTGATGTGCAAACGATAAAACCAGGAGCCTGTTTTTTTAGACCCTGGCAAGTTTACTTGCATGGACGGGGGGGGGGGCTGAGCCTGAAGCAAGCCGCAAACGACTTGCACGTTCGGGGGGGGCGCGGAAATCATGCAAGTCGAAAGGCACTTGCACGCTAGTATTCGCTTGAAGAGGGGCGAGGGGGGGGGGGGGGCGAACGCCATGCAAGTAAACTCGCCTGAATCCAACAAAAAACAGGCTCTATGTCGGGCGTGTCCCCCTACAGTGACGAACGAACAACACACACATACCCATAGGGAGGTCGGAGGGAGAAGGACTGGCTATGGGTATGGGTGCGGGTTGTCGGACCCCTGGGAAGGCTCCCGTTCGAGCGGGGACCCCCATCCGACAACACGCACCCATAGCTCATTCCGTCCCCCCCATGGGTATGGGTGCGTGTTGATCGTTCGTCAACAGGGGGATTTTCGACGAAACATTAAAAGAACCCCAAACATACCCCAACAAGGTGAAACCATACCCCCCAAGTAGTCCCAACCTATGTTTGGAGTATTTTTGGATCATTCTTAGGGTGTCTTTTATTTTTCGTCGAAGATCCCCCTGTAGGGGGACAGGCCCGACTTAACCCAAGCCCCAACAAGAGCCCAAGAGGCTCCCAAGAGAGCCCCAAGGAAGGCTCCAGAGCGTCAGCGTCGTCGTCGCCGCTGCCGCCGCCGCCGCCGTCGTCATCACCGTCCCCTTCAGGGTCGGCGGCACCGGCCGCTAGGCATTCCCCAAATTATGTTTCTATCATTGTTCTATTATTTGTGTTCTATCATTTTCTATTTGTTCCCAAAAAGGCAGGCCCTGGGGACGATGGTTCTATTATTTTTGACTCTTGTTGGAAATTTCTCGACCATCCGCAATTGTTCCTCACAATCCCTTTGTAGGAGGACATGCCCGACCTAAATCCGGGGCCCTCGTATGACGTCTATAGACCCTCTTGGCGGAGGCCAGGAGGGCAGAGGGTCATGTAGTCCATGCACGACTTACGTTAAGTCGTGGACGGGTCCTTTGTCCACCTGTCTGTCTGTGTCTATCTCTCTCTCTCTCTCTTTTTCTCTCTCTCTCTCTCTATCTCTTTTTTTTTTTTCTCTCTCTCTCTCTCTCTGGAGCAGCCCTGCATCAAAGGAGGGGCGGGTCGAATTCACAACTGATTGATCACCCACGCCCTCTGCACACAGCCGAGCAGCCGATGGGCTTTCCCGTGAGGCTCGCGCGCGCGTTCGACAGCTGCAGCGGTCTGTGTGTGTTTTCATCGGCCATGGGCCCCCCAGGCGGCGCCTCCGGTGCCGCCCCTCGCGCGCCTCTGCGCGCCAGGGAGGGTTGTCCAGCGCCGATCCAAGAAACTCGCGCGGACCTCCGAGAATGTTGCCTTGTAACGATTCGTTCTTCCTCGGAGCGGGCGGAGGCCAGCCCGAGGGCAGCGATATCGGCGTGGCCCGCCGGAGGTGACAGTCCGCTGCTAGTACAGTTTCCCGCACGAGGCGGGCTTGTGACGGGCGACGCAATGCCGCCCGTTGCCTTCGCGCTGTTCTTCCGCTTGGAGAGCACCTCTGTTTTAATTGCGCACCTAGTGTAGGGTCTACAAACCAGCAGTGTTCAGAACCAGTGTTCAGCCATTGCTGTACCCTTTCCCGATCACCCGCGTTGCCACAAATTGTCACGGCTTGCGGACCGGTTATTCCTCCTTCCTCGGCGTATTTCTCGGCCTGGCTTCCCTCTCGCTGACCTCTTGGCAGCTTTCTTAGCGGGGCCCAAAGGAATACAGTCGGGGCCCTGAAGAAGGAACCCTTTTCGTTGGGGAGGGGCTCCGTATTCCTTAAGTGTTTCACAGCTTGCCTCAGGGTTTCCTGATGTTTTCGATGGGAGATCGAAGGTTATCTTATGGAGAAACGGGGCCTCGTTCCTTGTTTAGGGTTCCTTAGGTCAACGCCCCGACTGTACACCACCACCACCACCTCCCTCATCCCCTCCTGCATCCCAGGAGAGAGGCCCAGACCGTGAGTAGAGCCTGTCGGCGAGCGGCCGCACCTGGAGAGGTGTTGCCGCGAGTCGGTGCTGAAGCGTGCGCGCCCCGCGCTTGTCCCGTGACAGTGGCTCGTCTTCCGCGGCATTGCCACATCGCCTCCCCTGGTCAGGGGTCCAGCAAGCAGGGGAGGAAGAGGTAGACATACCAATACTCTTCTCTAGTGTGTTCACTTTTTCGGTCTCCTTGGAGGCCCTCGTCGCCAGCGCTGGATTCGAGTCGAAATTCTGGTCAGAACGCACCCCAGGGGAGGTCCGGGGAGTAGCGCAATGGGTACCTTTGGGTGTCCAGTTTCCTCAAGCAATGCGTGAGGGTGCAAACCCGACTTGGTTGGCTGAGGTTTGGGGGGGGGGGGGGGGGCTGAGCTCAGGGGATGCTGCAGCACATCCTGACGATGTGTTGCCCACTCGAACCCACAAGGTGGGCCCCTTTTTCTGTGCACTCAAGCCTTTTTCCTCAACTTCCGCTGTCGGCAGCAGGAAGCGCTTGCAGTTGTGGGCAGCAGGGAGCGCCCTCGGGGCGGCTCACGCGCGTCTGTACCCTCGTGGGCCCCGGAAACGGCAGGGCCGCCTTTTCACCGTTCCCGAAAAAGTGCCCCGTGAAAACGGAAACGGCAAAAAAGAAGGGCGACCGGAAGCGGCAACGAGAACGGCTCCAGGATTGGAGCCGGAGCGGGAGCCCGTAAAAGAGCGGCGGCGGAACAGGTAAGAAAACGGCGTGGGAACCGGCAGAAAACGGCAAAGCGGAACCGGTAACAAAAACGGCCCCGTCGTTTCCTGGGCCCATTGAGGCCTGTTCTCCGCTCACACGAGCGCCTCTGATCCCCCGTCTCATCAGATCTTCTCGACCTCGCGCCGGCGCGCGAGAGAGGGAGGCAGCGGCGGGGCGCACAGCGGGTGCGCGCCCGTTCCGCCCCTCGCTCCCCCTTTCGCCCCATCCCGCGCCCTTCGCCTCCTCACTCCGAGGGCCCCTCCAGATGTTCCTCCACCCGCCGCCCTCCTCGCCCCTCCTGCCCCGCCACCCTGCGCTGCCCGCCGCTCTGCGCCACGCCACCCGGCAGAGAGATCCCCTGCGGCAGCCCTGCGCGAGCGCTGTATGCGCCCGCTGCGGGCGCTGCGCCCTCCGCGCGCCCTGCCCAGCGAGTGCCGCCCCACGAAGGGCCGGGTGCCCAGAGGTCGCCTTTTCGCGCTGGGCCCCCCGGCGGAGCCTCCGGCGCCGCCCCTGGCGCGCTCCGCGCGCTTCAGGAAGGGGGGTCCAGCGCAGATCCGACAAGACGGCGCGGAGCGCCAAAAGTTTATCGGCTGCGGCGTGTCGCTCCCCCCTCCCCTTGCCACCCCGCCTGGGTAAGGGTACGGGGTACGGGTATCTCTCGCACTCGATATTCTTCTTCTTACATCGGCGGTGGGCCTCCACCGAGGGAAGATGCTCCCAATCTTGGTGGTGGCGTTCATATTCGGGCTTCCAGGTGGCCGACATTTTATTACCACCAACACCGACATCTAGGGTCATCTCCTCCCAGTGGAGGCCACCCCGTGTGGTGGTGTTGGTGACCATTTCGAGGCCTCCAAGTAGAGTCAGCCCGCAAAGTAAGGATAGGCAACCTTCCCAAGGGTATCATTGCATCCTTGCCTCCTCGGTCCATCCTTGGCCACTTTCGTTGGCCGCGCCCCGCTCGAAAATCTTTGAAAGGGGCGTCCAGGGCCCTTGCGTTCTTGTCGCGCATCCTTGTGATACGGGCCGGCTGTACACACCCCGTGCTGTCAGCCTGCAGCGCGTGGAGCCGCCTCGGCTGCCCGGGAGCGCAGCAACTGGAGCTCTGAAACACCGCACCCGGGCCGCGGTGCCGCGCTGTGCGTTGGCCTCCGGCCCGCGCTGGCCCACGGTGTGGGCGAGCGTGTCGCGCCAGACCTGCGGTGTCAGTCTGCGTGCCGAGCTGAGCATCACCACGCTGCGGGCTGCCTGCTGGTGGTGATGGTCTTCGTATTCATTGTTCTGCCGATCGGCGCGGGCCCTCCCCCATGGAGCAGGTCTTGGCTGTTCTGGGTGCGTGTTTCAAGCACGTGGAGTCTCCTCCAGAGGAAGCGCTGTTGCCAACAGTCGCATGAAGCAGAGGTCCAGAGCCAGACCCCCCCCCCTACCCCTCCTTCCGCCCAATGTCGAAATGCTGGATAACAAAAACACGTATCGGGGCGACTGTGAAGCGCTCTAGAAGAGGTCTCGCCTTCGAAGATGAAAGGAGCTGCCATCTCTTCATCGGCGGGAGGCGGCGGAAGTAGAACGAGGCCGCCTGAGCCGGCGGAAGGCCGGCAGAAGGTGGCGGACGCAAACAACACCCAAGAGATGATTAGGGTTCAGGGTTTCTGGAACGGGCCATATCCTTATCCCTATGCTTGGCATCACCTCACCTCGATGCCTACCTTCAGGACTCCCTCAGCTTCTGAGGGCGCATCACCAAGATTGTCGTCGCCCTTGGGCGTGTCAATCTTCAGGGCAGGGACACGGTCGAGATTGGTGAACCACTTCGTCTGGTCGACCAAAGAGCCAAGGAATTCAACGAAGAAGTGCGGCGTATAGAAGCGCCCGCGTCCCACAGGTTGGGAAGCTGGGGCTGATGGGCCTGTTCTCCACCACCACCACCACCATAAGTTGGAGGGGGAGGGGGTCCTCCTCCTTCTCCCCTCTCCTCCTCCTCCTCCTCCTCCTTCTCCTCCTCCTCCTCCTCCTCCTCCTCCTCCTCCTCCTCCTCCACCTCCTTCCCCCCTCCAACTTATGGTGGTGGTGGTGGTGGAAAACAGGCCCATCAGGGGCGTCTCCGCACTGAGCATCCTGGCCGACCAAACGCCGTCGTGTAGACATCCAGTCTCTCCTTTGGCCACCTGCCCGTGCGGAGGTTCCTCTCGCCGCCAGCCAGCTGCGCGCCTACTTCACAGCTGGACGTTTTTCGCGCCTCTATCGTGTCGGGCGAGGGAGGGGGATATGGCAGGGGGAAACAAGTACACGCCGGTCGTTGAAAGTATGCATTTTGTGGATTCCCAGATCCCGATCTACTTCAAGCGCCTTCCTACTTCAAGAATCGGCATGCTTTTGCTGTGTTTTGTTGCTCTCTGGGAGGACCTGGACCCAATCCACTATATCCCCCTTCCTACTTCATGCTTCTACCTACTTCTTCCGACCGACGTGTAGTGGACACTCCTCCCGCTCCGCCAAACTCAAAGTTGGCACGCGCGGGGGAGACTGCGGTTGAAGTGGTACTCAGCAGACAGCATCCTTGAACACTGGGGGGAGGGGGGAGGCGTCTACCGATGAGTGCGGCACGCGTGTTCTTTATTATGTCGGTCCCGAGGTCTGTAGGGAGCGGTCGGTGCGCTGCGACTCTGCCCGGCTGCACGTCCAGGACCACTCGGACGTTTCTCGTGCTGGGGCCAGGGCAGCACTGCACGGCCCAGGGCTTGGCATCGCTCGGACGTGTGCATTTTTCCTTCGGCGAGGACCATCGAGGAGCACCCTTGATCATTTGGCAAAAAAAAAAACACGCACGAAACCGAAAAAAACACAGGGAATGGACGTCCGAGCGATGGCCAGAGGGGCAGGCTCGGTGGCTGCCCGCCGTGCCAGCAGGCCCCCCGCCCCCCCGGCGGCACGCCTCGGAGCGCCCTTTTTCCGGCGTGCGCTGCGGAGGGGGCGGGGGCGGTGACGAGTCAGGCAGGTCGGGCAAGGAAGCGATCCATCGTTGACATCACCACTGCGCACGAGCCGTTCCAGGAGGAGGAGGAGGAGTAGGAGGAGGAGGAGGAGGAGGAGGAGGAGGAGGGCGGAGGAGGAGGAGGATGACGAGGAGGAGGAGGAGGAGGAGGAAGAGGAAGAGGAGGAGAAGGAGGAGGAGGAGGAGTGCTTTTTTCGACGGGGGCCCAGGAGGAGGTCAGCGGAAGGGGCCAGGTCGTCAGAGGTGCCGGGCCCTGGTAAATCAAGGAATCGCGGCGGCAGGTTTTGGTCTAAGTTTGGCCTCTGGGGGCCCTCGCCGGGCCCCAGGACCGTCAGAATCAGAACACGACTCGGGCTGAGAAGCTTGCCCTGACAAAAAACAGCTAGGGCTTCCGAGGACTCCGTTTTGACATACCATGTTACATCCTGCTTCGCCGTCCTCTCTGGTAGCTCGCAACAGTTGTCTTGCTAGCCCGTTGCGGGGTATGTCTCCTGTCGTCTACCTGCATGTGGAAGTTCTCACCGTCCCGCAAGGGCACGGCATTATCTATTGCGCAGCGGACCTCGCGACCTCGCTCATCGTAGAGCCTGTTTGGGGCAAGGGGTCTACCGCCATGCATGCCACATTTTCTGGCCATGTCACGCACAGTGGCCGCGCTGAGGGACCACCCCCTGCGAGCCCCCTCGGGTGCCGGGAAAGTGCCAGGCCTGCCACACTTCCCGACCCTGGCACGCATAGGGACCGCGCTGAGGGACGACCCCCTGCGCACCCCGTTGGCGTCGAGAAAGCGCAACGCCTTCCACGCTTTCCGACCCTGGCACGCATAGAGCAAGGACCGAGGGACCACCCCGTGCGCATCCCCGCTGGTGCCGAGAAAGTGCCACGCCTGCCACGGTCCCCGACCCTGGCACGCATAGAGACCACGCTGAGGAGCCACCCCTTGCGTACCCCCTCTGGCGTCGAGACAGCGCAACGCCTGCCACTCTTTCCGACCCTGGCACGCATAGAGACCTCGCTGACGGACCACCCCCTGCCCCCCCCGCTGTCGAGAAAGTGCCACGCCTGCCACGCTGTCCGACCCTGGCATGCATAGAACCAGCGCGGAGGGACCACCCCTTGCGCACCTCGTCCAGTGTCGAGAAAGTGCCACGCCTGCCACGCTTTCCGACCCTGACACGCATAGAGCCAGCGCCGAGGGACCACCCCCCACGCACCCCGCTTGTATCGAGAAAACGGCACGCCTGCCACGCCCTGCGAATATTGCGCGTATATGTTGTGTGGTGTTGGACGGTCATGTGTATGATGCGTGTTCGCTTGTATCTGGACGTGCGTCTCATGTTGTGGTGTGCGGCTCATGTGTACGACGCGTGTGCGGCTGTACCTGGACGCGTGTTTGTGTCTCATGTGGGTGCCCAGTATGAAGCGCATACGTCGTGGGTGTATGATGCAGTGAACACGCCAGGCGTGCGTTGGCGTTGTTAGTTTGTGTGTATGTGTGTGTATTTGTGTGTAGGTGTGGGCGTGTGTGTGGGTGTGTGGGTGTGTTTGTGTGTGTGTGTGGGTGTGTGTGTGTGTGGTGTGTGTGTGTGTTTGTTAGTGTGTGTGTGTGTGTGTGTGTGTGTGTGTGTGTGCGTGCGTGCGTCTGTGCGTGCGTCTGTGCGTGCGTGCGCGTGCGCGTGCGCGTGCGCGTGCGCGTGCGCGTGCGCGTGCGCGTGTGCGTGTGCGTGTGCGTGTACGTGTGCGTGCGTGTGTGCGTGTGTGCGTGTGTGCGTGTGTGCGTGTGTGCGTGTGTGCGTGTGTGCGTGTGTGCGTGTGTGCGTGTGTGCGTGTGTGCGTGTGTGCGTGTGTGCGTGTGTGTGTGTGTGTGTGTGTGGTTGTGTGTGTGCGTGTGCGTGCGTGCGTGTGCGAGTGTGCATAAAGTAGGTATGTGGGGGGGGTCCGGAGAATGACGACGACGGCTGCGGGGTTGAGCAGTAGTTGTCAGCATTTGAGTCGGTATGTATGCTGTATGTAGAAAGGATGGAGAGGGGGAAGTGAAGTGCGAGGGTGCGCAAGGTTCGCTGGGATGTTTGTGTTGCGTGTCTTGTATATGAGGTGTGTGCGGATGAGCTGTCATGTGGTTGTGTACGTTGCGTAGCACGAGTAGGAGGAGGTGAGGTACAGGTGAGGTGTGTGTGTGTGTGCGTTGGTTCGTCGCGGGGGGGGGAACGCGGCCCAGCAGAAAACCAGAAGCTCACGAAACATGTGAGGAACAAAAACGAGGCCTCGCGTGTCTGGGAGTCGACCCGTCTTCCTTCCCCCCCCCCCCCCCTGCGGAGGTCCGCGCACGCTGAACGGAGCCCAGGAATCTCAGCTGAGGCCGGAGCATCGCGCCGCACCTCCAATGCATCGGCGGTGCGGCTCGATTTGGAGCTCGATTTTCTGCACGCCCCAGGAATCTCAGCTGAGGCCAGAGCATCGCGCCGCACCTCCAATGCATCGGCGGTGCGGCTCGATTTGGAGCTCGATGTTCTCCACGCCGACGGCGCCGATGTGCATCGCCGATGCATCGCCGACGCATTCGGCGATGCGGCGCGATCCTCCGGCCCCCTTCCACCGTGACCCCGCGTAACCTCGATGTGTTTTCTGCATACCACGCCCGCCCCGCCCCGGTCGGATTCCACCGTCCGGGGACACTTCAGCATACCAACGCCACCCCCCATAGGAGGGTATTCTGTAGAGGAGGAGGAGGAGGAGGAGGAGGAGGAGGAGGAGGAGGAGGAGGAGGAGGATCGGAAGCGAAGAACATCGGGGGCGGCCAAGAGGGGGGGGAGGACCAGGGGGGTGGGATATAATGGCTGGGGCCATGCTATTTCCCCAGATTTCGTGGCGCCCCTTCCTATTTCATTACGTCCCTGGCCCCCCCTCCCTGGGCCGCGCACATGCCGCCGCCCCCCCTCTTGGCCGCTCCCCTCTTGGCCGCTCCCGAGAATAAATGGACACAAAATCTCGGAGGTCCGCGCGAATTTCTCGGATCCGCGCTGGAGACCGCGGCGCATCCGGCGCCGCCCCCGGCGCGCTCCGCGCGCCAGGGAGGGGGGAGGGGGGTCCAACGCCGATCCGCGCGGACCTCCGAGTTTTTATGTTTATGTAATTGTTTGTTTCCTAGGGAGCGCCCCGGGGTCGCCGCCGGAGGCGGCGCCCGTGTGTTGAGATCGCCCCGGACTATTCGAATGATTGTGGAGGACAGCTGGGACTGGTTTTGGGGCCTGTTGAGGCCAAACCCGGGCTGTCTGTGCGCAGCCCGACGCCCTCCCGTTTTTCCGACGACGCTTTTGTTTCAATTGTTTTTTGTAGATCTCGGCTTCGGGGCGCGTCATCGGGCCCGGGGCCATCAGACATGGGCCTGGGACGCAAAACTGCCCCTGGGGAAGGGGTCGGAGGAACCTCGGGGCCGCGGACTGAAAAAAAACTTGCAGGAGGATATCTGGATAATTAAACCAGCGATCCAATGCGGCCAAATGCTCAAAGAAGGCAAAGGTACCCATACCCATACCTCTACCCTTCTCTCGTTTTCCCCTAACGATTGGGCCGCCTGGGAGGTCCTCCTCGCCACCGCTGGATTCGTCTCGAAATCCTTATCAGAAGGCACCCTATCGGTACCTTTTGGTTTCTCCAGATGCTTGGGAGGCGCTGTTGTGCATCCCGGCGCAGCCGATCTGATTCAATCTTGGCTCCGTGCCGAGGGCAGCTCGAGCCGACGCGCATTCCGATCCGACCCGATCTCCCTAGCCGATGCCGACCGAACCTCTGCCTTAATGGAGGATGACGATTGATAAATGACCGGGGGTCGTGTTCACGCGGCGGCGCCTGGGATGACGATTAGAAAAAACCGGCCGCGGGCTGGAAAGCTATTCTTTTAATCGTTCTTCTCCAGTCAGGAGCTTGTGCAGAAATAGCAGAAACCTATTTTTTAATCGTTCTCTCCCATCTTTTTATTAATCGTCATCCCGCATTGCCCCCCTGCGGCACCCTCCCGGATCAGTCCCTCATCGAGCGGAACAAGCTGATCCAGTGGGACTCTTGGTGCCTCAAGGCCGGCCGACGGGGCACGAGGGGAGTGATGCGCGGGGGGGGGGGCAGAAGGGACGGCTGCACGACGCGCCATGAGAGTGCCTCGGGCCGCTGCGCCGTCCTGGAGGCGCTCGCGGGCCGTCTTGGGGACCTTCGGGACCACTATGGGAAGCATCGGGCCACCCAGATGGGGGGGGGGTCGGTTCGCGCCCTTGGGCGCCGAAGAAGGAGGGGCGCGTGAGCCATCAGCCCTCAGACGCTCACATCTGGTACTGTAGCACGCTCCGATTTGCCTGATGGGCACGGGGGTGGACAATTATGCGTCGCTTCGCCCTGCAGTGCCTTCTATTTCCCCAGCCTCCTTGGGCAGCGGATGCCGATTTGCTAGGGTCCGGGCTTTCGTTCATATCTTGTTGATGTCCTCTTGCTGGTCCTGGGCACTGTGCCTGTTGTTGCACGCCAGGGCAGGTGTGCTTCAACGCTCTAGCAAAACGTTTCCTCGTTTTCTCCAGTGGGGGCTGTGTTGCTTGGGTGTTCCATAGCACTGCGATGTTGCTTGCTGCTGACTGCTGAATGCGTGGCTTCCCAACTACCCAGCTGTTGCCCACGTGCCCGAGGTAAGTTCCGCCACTGCCAGCGCAGCACTCTGCACACCTCTCTTCATCAGATCTACGTGGTCCTAAAACAGCTCGCTTTTCCTGTGCAGAGAAGGCCGCTCGCATCGTGTAGGAGGAGAACGAGAAGATAGAGGATGTGGGGGACATGGGGGGGATGGTTTTGCAATGACTATTCGGGGTCTCAGGTTTATGTCCCGGCGGGCATTGGAGGCATCTTCATGGACGTCTTGGGGCTTGTTGGGCTATCTTGGGCTGTTTCGGCGCGCTCGCTGGCCTTTCTTGGGCCGATTTTGGCCACTCCGGGGGCTCTCAGGAGGCCTCGTGGGGTCCTCTGGATGCCTCCTGCGGGTCATATGGGTCCGTCTTGGCCAGTTATTTGGCCACTCTGGAACTGTCTTGCGTCTCTCGCAATGCAGATGCCATCTTGATCCGAGCCACTCGGGGAGCGAAGCCACTGGAAGCCATTATGAATTGAACTCCCCTGAGGGGGCAGACACCGCCGCCCCATCATTTTTGGATCCTGGAGACTGGGAGCGGCGGCCTGTCCACGCGCGCGAATAGGAGATGTTCTGGTGCTGGTGCCGGTGCTCCCGCTTGGAGGTCTCGTGGGGCTCTATGGAGAGGACATTGGGCTCCTCAGTAAGCTCTCCGTCGTATGACCCTGAGCCCAGGACGGCCGCAGAAGGAGCTGAAAGCAGCGAGCTCTGTGTCGCATGACCCTGAGGCCAGGACGGCCGCTGAGAGGCTGGAGGAACTGAACAATAACCGTCGGGCTCGTGGCAGAAAGCGCGCCGAGGAGTGTCTTTCACATGACCCTGAGGCCAGGACGGCTGCAGAGAGGCTGGAGAAGCTCCAAAAAACCGTCGGGTTCGTCCTAGGGGGACCTCTGGATGGGGCCTAAGAAGGAGCCAGAATGGGTCAAGTGACGCGACTTGGGGCGAACGATGAAAACAGGACGGGGACAAAAAGCAGTCCGGGTTTGTTGGCGGCTCCTGGAAGAGCCTTTGGAGGCTCAGGAAGGGCGCCCCAGATGGGCGAAATACGTCGCCAAGAAGGCGGCCAGACGGCCCAAGATGAGTCCTAGAGGTTGTCAGGACGGTCGTAGAGAGCATGCCCGGGTTCTAAGATGGCCGCAAGAGCCAGCGGAGATGCACGGGAGTTCCGAGAGAGACGTACGGAGAAGTGCGAGAAGGCCAGAATCATCAACATCTTATGTGTTTTACCATGTTTTGGTGTTTTGGTGCATGTGGCTCGAAAAGAGGTGGAAAGGCATCTGAAACGGCTCAAAGTGGCATGAAGGAGGGTGAACCTGAGCCCAGGGGAGCCTCAGGAAGCCCGAAAAGCTGGCCCAGTGGGCTCCTGGAGGTCTCTGAGAGCGCCTGGCGGCGCCTGGAAGGCTAGCACGTGAAAGGGAGGTCGTCTTGCGACGGAAGTGGCGGCCAGAAGGCGCCCCGGCCGCAGCCGGGGCCCCTGGGCCGACGGAATGAGCGAGGCGCGGGGAGGACCCCAGGAGGAGTTGCGAGGGCTCAGAAGCAGGGGTAGGTATGAAGAGCGCGCTGGAGAGAAGACTTTACACAGAGCACTACTGACGACCATGCTGTGGATCTCACACGCCGTACCCGGTGGGGCGGCGGATCGCTTCGCTCATCCCGCCGGCCCGTATTGTGCCGTCGCGGGCGTTTGCCTGCGCGTTCGTGGTCTCTTGGGGGCTGTTTGGGAGCCTCTTGGAGCCTCTTTTGGTCCTCTTGGGAGCTTCGTGGGGCCTCCAGGGGGCCTCCTGGGCTTCCTTGGAGGCCTCTCGGAGGGGTTCGTGTTTCCCCCTGGCCCCTCTTGGGGCCGTCTTGGGGCCCTCTTGGGCGATCTTGGGCGCCCTCCTAGGCCGTTTTGGGGCCCTCTTGCCAGACCCTCTTGGGGGCCTCTCGGGCAGTCTTGGGGCGGTCTTGGGGCGGTCTTGGGGGCCTCTGTGGCCATCTTGGAGTGTCGGATGGCTGAACGCGAGAACGCGAAACTCATAGAAAAACACGAGGGGTATCAATGATTGTTGCTTCCTTTGGCCCTCTTTGGGTCCCCTTAGAGTGCTCCTGGGGCTTTTTGGGGTCCTCTTGGGCCGTCTTGGGGCCATCTTGGGCGTCTCGGAGCGCTCTTGGGCCGTAATGATGATTCGTGGGGCCCTTTGGAGCTGCCTTGAGGTTCCTTGGGCCCCGCCGCTTCTTCTCACCACCCTCCTCGCAGCTGGAGACCCAGGAGCAAAGCCATCTCTGATCCGAGTCTCCCCGGACCTTGCCGGGACTTTGCCGGCACCTTGCCCGGGTTCCGGCGGGTACTCTTCGTCCAGGGACCCCGCCATGGGCGGCCTTGCGCGCGCGAACTAGAAAGTGCACATCCACTTGCGGGAGACCTAGGCACGCCTTTGGCCCGTTGGGCCGGCGAATGTGTTGCTCAAGATGGTGGTGTTTGGGCTCTCTCCCTGGCCATCTTCGACCCTCTCTTTCGGATGCAACTCCTGGGCGGTCAAATTCTGTTTTCGCTCTGGTCCGAAATCCGGTTTAATCCCGCTTGATCCCGCTTAATCATCCCGCTTAATCCCGCTTAATCCGGCTTAATCCTGCTTGGTCCGAGGCCATTTCTGGCGTAGCAGCTCCCAAATGGGGCTTAATCCTCCTTAATCTTTCCGACGAAAACCTCCCAGTAGTTGCCTCCTAACTCCTTGTGGGCTCCTTGGGTCCTCTCGGGTCCTTTTTGTTTGCGAGGCCTCCTCGGCATCTTGGTGACAGGCGTAGGCGCGGTTGGCAGTCCAGGTAGCCTCGCGGGGAGGGGTCGGTGCAGGCATAAAACGGAGGGGTGGTGGGAGGTCGTTTTTTAGAAAGCTGGTACCACCCCTGCCAGAGGAGGAGGAGGAGGAGGAGGAGGAGGAGAGGAGGAGGAGGAGGAGAGAGGAGGAGGAAGGAGGGGGGGGAGGAGAGGAGGAGGAGGAGGAGGAGGAGGAGGAGGAGGAGGAGGAGAGGGAGGAGGAGAGGAGGAGGAGAGAGAGGAGGAGGAGGAGGAGGAGAGGAGGAGGAGGGAGGAGGAGGAGGAGGAGGAGGAGAGGAGGAGGAGGATAGGAGGAGGAGGAGGAGGAGGAGGGGGGAGGAGGAGGAGGGAGGAGGAGGAGGACAGGGGCCCGAGGGGGGGGTGGGGCCCGATTTCGGGGGAGGCGCAGGAGCAAGCGGACGCGTCACTGTACGACTCGTGTTGGGTCCGCATCCCCTTCCTCCCTGCCCGTCGGCGCCTGATAGTCAGGGCAGCCCCCCTCCTCCTCCTCCTCCTCCTCCTCCTCCTCCTCCTCCTCCTCCTCCTCCTGCTTCGGGGGAAGGGGGAGGAGGAGGAGGAGGAGGATTCCCCAGGGGAAGGGGCATTTCGGGGGAAGGTGCTGGGTCCGCACCCCCTGCCCCCCTGCCCGTCGACGCCTGAGAGTCAGGGCAGCCCCCTTCCAGGTCATTCAGCTTTACGAGACGTCCCTCGTGCGCCACGGCTTCATGCTGGTCGGCCCGACGCTCTGTGGGAAGTCCGAGATTGCCAGCATGCTCACCACGTGCATGACAGAGGACAACAACGCGCACAGGATCGTGACCATGAACCCAAAGGCCAGCAGGTACAAACGCAGAGTAAGCACGCAGCTGAACCCAGCTCGCCCAATCTCCATGAGGGGAGAAGCGGATTTGGTATGGTATCGGAGTGGGGGGTGAAGTTGGTGAGTGTTTGCGGTGTAAAAAAGTTCTAGGAGCGGCACTGGCATTGTGTGCATCCTCCATCATCCAACCAGTTGGTTTGACTGATGCTCTTGCAGAGAACTAGGTTTCTTGGGTAGGTCGCGTTGAGCTCTTTTTCCAGGCATGGATTGCCGACCACCTCCGCGCTCTTTTCAGAGCCTGGTAATACTTTGCATTGAGCTCAAGATGCTATGCATGGGCAGCGAAGGACGGAATATGTGGGTCGTCATACGGGCCGCGGGAATGGGAGAGTTTGAAGCCTGGGTCCTTCAAATGAAATTTGGAATATGCATTAGATGTTGAACATTCGGCACTCTTTGGGGCCTGAGGGCACTCCACGGAGGCGAGGCCTAGTTTGGATACACTTCGTCCCGCATTCCGTTGGCCCTCCCATAAGCTCACGAATGTGGCGACATTTGCGCAGATGTCAGCCCCCAGGGAGGCGACGCCCAGTTCGGATCTATTTCAGCCCGCGCTGCGCTGGACCTCCCAGGAAAATTCGGGAGTTGCGACGCTTGCCAGTTGCGCAGTTGGCAGCCCCCCAGGAGGCGATGTTTAGGTTGGATCGCTTTCAGCCAGCGCTCCGCTGGACCTCTCAGAAACGAGGTGGCACTTGTGCAACTGGCAGCCCCCAGGAAGGCCAGGTCTAGTGAACATCCTTTTTAAGCCCGTGCTCCGCTGGACCTCCCAGGGGCTCGCAAATGTGTCGACAGTTGCGCACTTGGCAGCCCCCCAGGGAAGCGATGCCTAGTTTGGATCCCTTTCAGCCCGCATTTCGCTGGACCTCCCAGGAGCTCCCAAGAAAGTGGCGGCAGTTGCGCGTTTGACAGCCCCCAGGGAGGCAAGGTCTAGTGAGAATCCCTTTAAGCCTGCGCTGCGCTGGACCTCGCAGGAGCTTGCGAATGTGGCGACACTTGCGCAGTTGGCAGCCCCCCAGGGATGCGATGTCTAGTTTGGGTTCCTTTAAGCCCGCGCTCCGCTGGACCTCACAGGAAAGTGGCGACAGATGCGCAGTTTGCAGCCTCCAGGGAGGCGAGGTTTAGTTTGGGTTCCGTTCAGCCCGCGCTCCGGAGGACTTCCGACGAGCTTTCGAAAGTGTCGACAGTTGCGCAGCTGGCAGCCCCCAAGGGAGACATAGCTCCTTCGGATACTTTATTCGTGAATTTAATTGGTTTTAGGGTTTTAACACATGGTCGCAGCCACGCAGAGGGCGTGCGTAGCGACGCCCCAAATGCTCGGTCTCCAGTACTTCTACGTGGCGGCGCCCCCGCAGGCACGCAGAGGGCACGCGTGGCGACGGGGGCGTCGCCACGCAGAGCTTCTAAAGACCAAATATTTTGAAAACCAATTGTTTCCACTACTAAAGTACGCGTAGGACCCCGCTCCGCTGGACCTCCCAGCAGCTTGCAGTTGGCAGCCATGCTAGGAAGGCGAGGTCAAGTTTTGGAGTTCATGGCGCCCGCTATCCGTGGGGCCTCTCAGGAGCTCACGCAAGTGGAGACAGGATACAGTTGGGGCGCTGAAGAAGGAACCCTTTTCGTTGGGAGGGGCTCCGTGTTCCTTGATTGTTTCAGAGCTTGCCTTAGGTTGTCCTTCGGTCTTCGATGGGAAATCAAACTTTAACTGATGGGAGGAAAAGGGGCCTCGTTCCTTATGTAGGGTTCCTTGGGTCAGCGTCCCGACTGGTATGAGGCAGGCAGTTGTGAGGAGGCTGGAGAGGGGAGGAGAAAAAGGACGGGCAGGGCAGGGCAGCCGTGCTCTTCTCAAGACGACAGTCTGGCGCAGGAGGAGCCTGGAAGTTGTGCAGTCCCAAACTCCTCCTCCTCCTCCTCCTCCTCCTCCTCCTCCTCCTCCTCCTCCTCCTCCTCCTCCTCCTCCTCCTCCTCCTCCTCCTCCTCCTCCTCCTCCTCCTCCTCCTCCTCCCTCCTCTCCTCCTCCTCCCCTCCTCCTCCTCCTCCTCCTCCTCCTCCTCCTCCTCCTCCTCCTCCTCCTCCTCCTCCTCCTCCTCCTCCTCCTCCCTCTCCTTCTCCTCCTCCGCCGCGCCAAACGCTTTCAGGAGGCGGCTGCAAGGACGCCAGAAGGCATGCCTGGGGAGCTTGTAGGCTTCCAAGGGAAGCTTCGAAGGAGGGCTGGAAGGAGCTGCGAAGGGCCCATCGCGGAAAGGCTTCAGACACGCGTACTGGGAACGGGCAGGAAAACGCTTCTCGGGACACGCTGCGAGTTCAAGCAGCCTGCAGCGAGGCTCCCTACCCAGCGCCAGAAAGAGCCTCCAGGCCACCCTGCGCTGCCGGTTTCTAATCTGAAATCCTCTCAGCTCTCTACGAGCTATCTGGGAATAACGACTTGCCTAGGTCGGAACAGTTCTACGACCTGCTCAAGCCCACGCATTTTAACGACTTGTTCAGGTCCAAGCAGTTGTAACTGCAGACTTGGACTAGCAAGCTCAGGAGTTTAGAGGAGAGCTTGGAGGACAACGCCGGTGGGAGACGCCTGCGGGGACGCTGGAAAGCATGCCTGGGGAGCTTGTAAGCTTTGAGGAGACGCTTGCCAGGGCGCCGGAAAGCATGCTTGGGGAGCTTGCAAGATTCGGGAAGCGAGTTTCGAAGGATTATCGAGGGAGCTGCGACGAAGCTGCGGGAAGGCTCCAGTCACGCGTATTGGGATTTAGTCGGAAAACGTTTCTGGGGACCCGCTGGAGGTTCAAGCAAGCCGCTGCGAGGATGCCTGCCCGGGAGCCTTGGAGAGGAGCTGGCGTATCTTTGCTTGTCTGCTTCCAATCTGGAACCCTCTTAGCTCTCCAAGGAACATCAAGGAACTATCCGGGAACAAACAAGCAAACCAACTAGCAGCGCAGATGTTTTTTTTCGAGCGGCGTGTGCACCAACGTATATATAGGATATGTTATGAGGTATGTTTTCTTCATCCTTGTTGCCCTTCTCCCCTCCGCCTTCTTCATCCGCCCCCCGTTCTTTTTATCCCTCTCCTCCTGGCCCCCCTCCTCCCTCTCCCCCTCCCCCTTGACAGGGAGTTCCCAGGCTTGGTCTTTGGGTGAGGGGCTCCCCCAGGTTTCTTGCCGACGGGGGCCGAGTGCCCTCGAGCGACCCGAGCGCCGGCCTCGAGCCACCCGAGAACTGACCGTGTGCAGATCGTGAGCGAGCCTCGCTGTCCACAGCCGCCCGCCCTCCTTCCTACGGTCAACCCGCATACTTTATTAGTGAATTTAATTGGTTTTAGGGTTTTAACAAATGTTCGCAGCCACGCAGAGGGCGTGCGTAGCGACGCCCCAAATGCTCGGTCTCCAGTACTTCTACATGGCGGCGCCCCCGCAGGCACGCAGAGGGCACGCGTGGCGACGATGGCGTCGCCACGCAGAGCTTCTAAAGACCAAACATTTTGAAAACGAATTGCTTCCACTACTAAAGTAATCAGGGTGGGCGCCCTTCCAAAGCGTATGCCCTTGCAGCCTTGCCCCTTCGGCCCATCCTGGGCTCGCAGAGTGTCGGCATGGTTTTCCAAGGGGCCCTTGCATTTTTACCGTTCGGCAGCAAATCATGGGAGCTTTGTGTACCCTTTTCATTCTCGTCTTGCGCGTCGGCCAGCGTCGATTGGCGTCTGCGAATCGATGAGATAGCGCCAATCTGGCCTCCTGCAGCGTCGATTCAGCGCCGCTTCAGCGCCGACGAGTGGAGATCCAGCGTCGGCTCGCAGGAGCTGGCGAGAGGGTGTGGGGGGCGGCTCCCAGGAGTTGCCACCGACCTCCTCGCGCGCCCCTGCTGCACTCAGGAGCGAAAGAAGGACGTACATGTACATGAATCCACGCTGGTGTCGAGAGCACGCACTTCACACATGTTCGTATAACGCGGCCAGTCTCGCGAATCGAGGGGCCGTGTTCATGTACATAGCTGGGCGCGTACGTCCTTTGTGGGCTCCCTATTACACGGGTCGGCGGTGCTCCCTTGTGGCTCGAGGTCTTCCAGCAGGGGGCGGCGCGCCGCCGTGCGATGGCGCGCGTCGCCGGCGCCGCGCGGTGCACGAGGAGCTCGGCGGCCCGAGCCGCGGAGGGGCCGGCCCTTGGGAGGGCACGTCCTCCTCCTCCTCCTCCTCCTCCTCCTCCTCCTCCTCCTCTCCTCCTCCTCCTCCTCCTCCCTCCTCCTCCTCCTCCTCCTCCTCTCCTCCTCCTCCTCCTCCTCCTCCTCCTCCTCCTCCTCCTCCTCCTCCTCCTCCTCCTCCTCCTCCTCCTGTTCGCCCAGCGGCGGCCCCCGCCCCCCCCCCAGAGGCAGGCGTCGGGGGGGCGAGGCGTGCGTGGGAGGGGGGCCTGGTCGCAGGCACGCCACGGGCGCCAAGGCCTGCGCAGGAGGCAGGAGGAGGAGGCGCAGGAGGAGGAGGAGGAGGAGGAGGAGGAGGAGGAGGAGGAAGTGGGTCGTGAAGGAGGATGATAGACGAGGGGCGAGGAGGAGGAGGAGGAGGAGAAGGAAGTGGGTCGTGAAGGAGGAGGATAGACGAGGGGCGAGGAGGAGGAGGAAGTGGGTCGTGAAGGAGGAGGATAGACGAGGGGCGAGGAGGAGGAGGAGGAGGAGGGAGGAATGAGCAGGGAGCATGGAGGAGGGTGGAGGCAGTAAGAAGAGGAGGAGGAGGAGGAGGCGGAGGAGGAGGAGGAGGAGGAGGAGGGAGAAACACTGCACTTCGGACTCCGGTGTTAATCGCGGCCCTCTTGCCGAGTTCACACCCAGGCGGAGAAGGGGGGAGGCGTCGGAGAGAGCAGGGAGGAGGAAGCAGCAGGGTGGAGAAGGACGAGGACCCCCTATGTGCTCCTCCTCCTGCTCCTCCTCCTCCTCCTCCTCCGTCCGTTGCCATTGCTGGCTCAAGGCTTGCCGCCCCAGCGGTCACGACTTGGTTTTGCACGGTGCTTCAGTCTCGCCCGTATTGCCAAGCCGCTTGCAATCCAGCCGCCAGCCATAGATGCCTCGCTGCAGCTCCTGGCTGATTCCTCCGCCCAAGCCCTTCGGGTCCTCGCTCTGCATCCGGGCATGCCGTTGACCACCATCCGGCGTGGCCTCAGGGAGTCCAGCCGTAAGCTATCCAAGGTGACCGGCTCAACCTCGCCGACGCCGTCTACCATCACACCACCAAGGAGTACTGCGGCACGCTGCTTGTGAAATCTTGCCCAGAGCCTGAGGCTGGGGCGTGTAGGTAAGTCCCCCGTGGATTGGGTACCGTGCAGCGCACCGAGCGCTTGCTTCGAGATCAACTCGAAAGCCAGTGGCCTTGCGCCCGTCGTGCCGCATGAGGGCGTTGCAGCCAATGTGCTCCTCGGCTCCCTGGAACCCGCAGTGGAAGCGGGAGTGGAAGGGCGTGCACGTGGCGTGGTTACGCTCAAGCTGAAGTTCACCGAGGCCGATTCGCTCCTCACGCAGCGGTTGGACCCCATCCAGCAGGAGTTCGACACGATGCAAGCGAAGTTCATTCAGATCGACGCTTGCCAGGCATCTGACACCACAAGGTTGACGTGATGATCAGGATTGGGGCGCGTACACGCAGTGGGTTTAGTCGAGGATATGCCAGATTTTCTCAGATGGTGGAACGAGGGCGGCATGTTCAGCAAGTGCATGGGCAATCACTGCGATATTTGACATGAGTGGCGTGGAAAAGTTCGTCCCATTTGTCGCAACCCGAATTTATTTAGAATGCACTCACGGTTCTTGTTCTGGTGAGGCAAACGCGCTGGAAAGCGCCAGTTTGGAAATGTCACGGCGGTGCAGGCGAGCTTGGGTCTTGGCAATTATGTGAATTATTCTTCGTTGTGTTATGGAGTTGCCGGGTACATAGCAAGGAAGTGGAGCTCCCTACCTGTCGAAACCAAGGAAGCATTGCGGCGAGATGAAGGCGAACCTCGTCGATTCCGAAGCGTACCAGATTCTGGGAAGTGACGGGGAAGATTTGCGGAGGCGACCGATGCGCCGCCCTGGCCGACGGAGGAGAGGACGCGCAAGGGGCTGGCTACCGGTGCGCCGCCCTGGCCGGAGTGCCCGTCCAGACCGCCAGGAAGCCAGAAGCCGAGGAGGCGAATCCAGCTGCTGACGTGGCGCCGCGGCCATCGGCACGAACGAGATGGGTACGGAAAGAATGGGTACAATGCCCAACAGCAGTTCCTGTTGATTCTGAAGAGGATTCGCTGTCCGCGCCGCCGCGGTCTGTGTCCATTTGAGACAGAAGGCCGCCCGCCCAACAGCGGCCGCTGTTGGTTCGGGACAACATTTGCTGTTGGGCATTGTGCCCATTCTTTCCGTACCCATTTCGGGTGTCCAAAGGCCAGCCACAATTGGGGGAGCTGTGGTCTTTCAAGGTGCCTTAGAGATGTTTGCAAACAGGAGCGTTTCCCCACCGTTTTCCATTGTTTGGGAACTCGCCTGTTGACACTCTTCCGGATGCTGCTGCACCCGCGTAGAAGGAGCTCCAAGAGATTCCGAGGACTAAGATGGAAGGCTCCCGTTGTCGATCAGGAGCACGCCGGGCATTCTGCCCTCGAGATAGTTTCTCGATTGGGTTGCTCTTTCTTGCCAGACTCCAGTTGCATGGCGTCTTTCGCAGGTAATTGCCGCTTATTTCGAGCGCATCGTCCGCGCCCTTTGCCCGTTCGGGAAAGCGTTCATCGCCGTTAGCGTGAGTCTTGGCGAGAAGGACACGGGGCCCATGTTCGCACGCGGGTGCGTGGACAGACGGCGTCGGGCTGCGCCGATGAGGATTTGGCAAAGTTTGAGCCAGCGTCTCGGACGCCTCGGGATCTTGCGTATCCGTGACCATTAGGATATCAGCAGTGCCTTCTGCAGGTCGTGGAAATCCTGCTGCCGCATTCCGAGCGACCTTGCCAAGAGGCGGCGGCGCGATCCGAGTTGTGATCTCAGCGGCGAGCTCCTTGTCGCATTGGCCGCCGTGGACTCGGGGTGCCACGGCACGGGCAGACTTCTGTATCGATCGAAGAAGACAGAAACCTATAGACACAAACGTTCGGAGCTCCGCGCGGATTTCTTGGATCTGCGTTGGGCACCCCTGGCGGCGCCCCCGGCGCCGCCCCTGGCGCGCTCCGCGCGCCATGGAGGAGGACCCAGCGCGGATCAGGGGCACCCGCGCGGACCTCCAAAAGTCTGTGTTTATGCCGTGTGTTGCCCCTCCAACCCAAGGGGGCACCCCCCATCACGAGAAGCGAGCCGTGTTTTTCCGCGGGGGTCGGGTGTCCTGCCGCATCTGGGTCGGAGGCGCAGGCGCGCTCGCTGGCGCGCGCGCGCGCGTCCCCCTCGTCCCCCCCTGCCGCGCCTCGCCGCGTGGCTGCAGCACTTGCTTGGACTGGGGTGGGCTTCTCTCGGGTACGCACCTGCCTCTGGGAGGAGGGTGCCCGTGTAATTACGGTAGGTGCACGCGGCGTTGGCGCGCCGGCGATGCCGGCGAAGGCGTTCGGGGTTGAATTTTCTGCGACGCGGACGCACCGATGGACACACACCGCCAGTGGAGCCGATTGAATTTAGCCTTGAACGATTGGGACCGCGATCGATTCAAGGTTGAACGACGCGGCGTCAAAAACCTTTGCGCTCTCCGACGCCACACGAACCTAATTAGTGTAGGCCGTCAGGTGTTTGTTCCCTTTCGGACGGTCATGCTTCGTGGGCCTGTCAGCATTCCCATGGGGTGACGTTTTCATGTCTTCAAGCGGCAGTACAGCTGCCAGTCAGGAACCAATTCGCTGGATCGCAATCGCCCCGTTCCGTTCCGGTCTTCCTCCTCCTCGTTTTCCACCTGCTCTTCTTCCTCCTCCTTCTTCTCCTCTCCTTCTCCTTGACCTCCTCCTCCCTCCCTCCCACCCCTCCTTCCTCCTTCCTCTCGTTCGAAAGGGCGTCGGTGTCTCAAGTGGCCCTCCTCCGAGAGAGCACACCATCAACCAGTACTCCCTGCTCGAGGAGCTCGGCCGCGGCACGTACTGCACGGTGAGGCGGGCCCAGGACAGGGAAGGCGCGGAGTATGCCGTGAAGGCGGGCTTTCCAAATAATCATCCCGTTTGGTGTTCTTCCACCTCATCGTCATAGTGTGATACATGTATATACATTTAGAATGAGAGAAAATACATGCTTTAATGTACATAGAGAGAGGGGTAGTTCCAAAACGACAGGGCTCTCTCTCTCTCTCTCAATCTCTACTTTTTGGCTCCGTCTCTCTCTCTCTCTCTCGTTCTCTCCCTCTCTCTGAGACTCACTTTCTCTCGCGTTCGGTTGTTACCTCTCTTTCCTTCTCGATCTAGACTGTCTACATGTACATGCGCATCATTGGTTTACAAGGGTGTATGGCTTCGGTGGCGCGAATCTTATGTACATTACAATGGTTTATGGCTTCGGGGACGCGAGCATGCGTTGATTTACGAGTCGCAGATATTGCATAATCTATACAGGTTTATGGCCTCGGGGGCGCAACTACTGCGCAATTTACGCAAAGGTGGTTGGCCTCGAGTACGCGAATCTTGTATAATTTGCAAGGGTTTGTTGCCTCGGGGACGCAAGCATGGTGTAATTTACGAGGGTTCATGGCATTGGGGGGTGCGAGTATCGTCTAATTTTGAATGGTTTATGGTTTCGGGGGCGCGATTATTTTGTAACGTACGACGGTGTATGGTTTCGGGGGCGCGAATTTTGTGTAACCTCAAAAGGTTTATGGCTTCGGGGACGCGAACTGTGTAATTTACAAAGGAGTATGGCATCGGGGACTCGAATCTCATGTGTTTTTGCATGTCCCACGGCCCCCCGGAATTCAGACAACGCGGCTCGGGGACGCTAGCCAGGACGCGTTTCGGCTCCCCCCCCTCGCGCGTTCAGCAACAGTTGGCAGTAAGGAAGCAGAAAGCAGGGCTGTAACAGTGGAAGCTGGAAGCTGCAACTGGAAAGTGGGATTCGGTCCTCCCCACTCCATCCGCTCTTGCTCCTGGTCCTGATCCTGCTCCTGCTCCTCCTGCTCCCCCGTCCCCGCGAAGGCGCTCTCCAGGGCCGTCCTGTCGTCCAGGCAGGTGTCCCTGTTCACCAGGGAAGGCGCGCAGGCGGTGCCCCTGCAGACCCGCGTCGACACGGACGCCGGGGCCGCGCTCGTCGTTGCTCCCCCCCCCCCTCCCCCTCCTCCCCTTCCTCGTCCTCTCCGGCTCCCCCCCCCTTCTCCCCCTCCTCTCCTTTCCTCCCCCTCCCACATCGCCCTCCTCCGCTTCCCCCCTCCCCCCCCTATATTTGCTCACGCCGCCACCCCGCGAACCAAATTGAGGCTACACCGTGCTCACAGGGCACTGGGCGCCCTCTCCGCACAGTCCTGCATCTCTCCTGCCTTCCTCCCCCCCCCCCCCCCCCTCCCTCCCCTCCCGCTCCGTCCCCGTTCTCCCCGCCCCGTCCCCCTGCTCCCCGCCCCCCCCTCTCTCCTTCATCCCCCCTTCCTCCCGAAGGGAGGCATCGGTAGTCGCGAGACGCCGCGTCTGCAAGAAGTGAAAGAGCTCTCCTCGTCTGCTCCAACGTGCGACGATGCCGCGTAGCCCAATCCGTCTAAAATCAGCCCCTTTCCCACCCTCCCCCCCTGACCTGCCCCCTCATGCCCTTCCTCCCTTTCCTCCCCCTCCTCCTCGTACCCTTCCTTTTCCCCACCTCCCCCCCCCCCTCGTCCCCATTCCCCACCCCTCTTCGCCTGCGCCCTCTCAGCTCTGATGCGTGCCTTTCTCTTCCACCCGTGCCAGACCACTAATGCTATGGGCTAGATTCAAGTCGGGCGTGTCTCTCTTCTTGTGTTTTCGGCTATATGTAATGACTTGTTGTTTGTCTTCAAAATCCGCATGCAGGAGGACATGCCCAACCTGAGGGTAGATCCTCGCCCACTTGGTCTTGGTCAGGCTTGGACGCTTTTCCGCCGAGGTGTTCGTTCGTTCGGGCACCTCTTCCTCCAGGCTGAGATCCAAGACCATCCCGAGATTTCTCCTTCGAGGGATGTATGGCCCGAGCCCCCACGGGGAGGACGAGCTGCTGAACCTTGGGGGAACCTGTGCATGGTATTTGTTGTACGTTGCCCTCCTCCTCCTCCTCCTCCTCCTCCTCCTCCTCCTCCTCCTCCTCCTCCTCCTCCGTCTCCTCCTCCTCCTCCTCCTCCTCCTCCTCCTCCTCCTCCTCCTCCCTCTCCTCCTCCTCCTCCTCCTCCTCCTCCTCCTCCTCCTCGTCGTCCTCCTCCTCGCGTCGTGAACAACAGTCCGCGTGGCAGTTACAGTCAACACTGGCGGTAAGGATGGACGCTTTTCGCAGGGACACCTTGTGCCCTTCCGTGGTAGCAATATTTATCACATGTTGGCTTCCCTGGCCCAAGGATACCCTCGCGGGCGTGCGCACACTTTGCTTTCGCACTTGCATCCCCGTTGTTTTGTTAAGGCTGGCCAGTATCTGATCCCTCCGTCACCCCAACCCGAATACTCATCGCCGACTTTGACTGTTGCCCGACCTCCAAAACTCGAGGCGTCATAGGCTCAGGACCCAAGGCGTCGTACTTCTGGGCCTTTTCGAGGTCCGTCCCTGGGCCCCCCCGATGCAACGTGCGAGGGCCCAAGCGCTGTGAGCAGAGCCGCGCCAGTGGGTGCCTCGGCCCTGCTTCCCCTCAGAAGGCAGGCCGCCGTCGGCTCCTGGCAGTTTGTGCTGCGCGGCGATGGAGAGGGCCAAAGGGAGCGAGAGGCAAGCAGACGGCGGCGAACGCGCAGGCGAGAAGCTGAAGCAGGCGGGCGGGCAGGCGGGAAGGGACAAGGGCGAGGCAGCAAGCATGAACAGGGGAGGATAAGGCGACGGGCGGGAGACGGGGAAGATGGAGGGGAGGAAGGAGCGCAAGCAGACGGGCCGGAAGAGAAGGGCCACCCCGCGACGAGGCTACGGACATTGCGGCTGGCTGCGGACACTACGGCTGCGACGCCGACAAGGCGGCGGAGGCGGATTGAGTGCTGGAGTAGGTTGCGGTTGTCGGGTTCGTCGTGGGGGGATCGTCGTGAGGGTTCGCCATGAAGGTGTCGCCGTGGGCGGGTCGTCGGTCGTGAAATGCGTATGGACGGGCGTCGAGGGCAATATGGCGTGCCTACCCGAAACCAGTGCGCTGCGGTTGGTGGGGTTTGCCCTTTGCGGGATCCATGCGCCGCCCTGTCGAGGAACGTACGGCCCGCGCGCGCCTGGAACCGCCGTCGCAGTGCCCGCGCAATGACGCTCTGGGTCCTTTCTGCCCACCAAGGGTGGTGGGGTTTGACAGGGAGCGTTGGGCAGCGCCGGAAACGCCTGTCCGCCGCGGACGCAGTCACGCACGCGGCCAGGCGTGCCGCGGTCCCCCCCGCCCGTCCAGACCGCGTTGGAGACGCCGCGACACTTGCCGCGCGCTCTTCCTGCGTAGAGAGACGGAGAGTCGCTGGGCGCGTTGGTCCGCAGCCCGTGGGCGTGTGGCGTCAGCCACCTGTCTGGACGGGGCCCTGAAGGCCCTGCGTGCCTCGCGGCTCCACCCACCGCCGTAGATTTCCACCGCCACAGGGAGGAAGGTAAAACCGCGTCCCGCGCACAGCCGTGCGGTGTCTTGGTGCTGCCCCTGGATCTCGCGCCGATCCGTCGCCATGCTCGACGAAGCGGCCGACGCGGCGAGGAGATCGGCGCGCAACCCGGACGCGTCGGCGAAGTACCCGGCGGCCGCCGCTCCGTTGCGCCACCGCCTTGCTCGCCCCCTGGGGCGGCCCTCCCAGCGGGGCGCATGTGTAGCAGCTGGGCGTTCCAAACCCGCCCCGGCGTGGCCAGCGGCCAGGGCATCGATCGACGCCCTGGCCGGGCTGATTGAACAAGATTTTGTGGCATTTGGTCCAGCCGCCGCGACAGGTGCAAACCAGAGCGTGGTCGCATAAGACGCCCATAGCCCCGCCACAGGCTGGGCAGAAACATTCCTCCTGCAGGAATTGGGATCGCAGCCGCTGCTGCAGGCCCGCTTGCGTGAGGCTGCGCGGGACAGCGGCGCTGGTGGCCTTGCGTTTGAGGGCGGCACCTGGAGCCACAAGGCCGAGTCGGGGGCGTGCGCCATGGAGTCGCGCCGCCAGAAGCCCGTCGAGCGCGACGCTGTCCACCGAGTCGGAGAGACTTTTGAGGTCCCCCTGCTGCGCATGGTCGAACTCCACCTGGTTTGCGCTGCGGAGTTGCACTTCGGCCTTCAGGCTACCTCCGTCGCAGCGAGCGTCGTTAGAGTAGCCGGGCTCGAGTTGCCGACAGAGGTCGGATTTCCGCGCACCGCAGGCCGATCCCTCCTTTGTTTAGCTTAAACTGAACCTTCCGCCATGAAGTGTCGGAGGGCGAGCAGCCGCTCAGTCGCTCAAGGCAGGCCCGGGCAGAGTCGTCAATGGCCAGCACAGAGGCGGTGTGTGCGGTCGGTGGCACCACGCGCGCGTAGCCCAGCGCGCCGTCGCAGAAGGTGCAGCGCGGTTTGCGCATTCCCGAGGGCCCCAAGAGCCTTCAGCAGCGAGGTGCCCGCGCGCGACCCGCTGCGTGGTGTGCCCCTTGCAGAAGTCTGCGTCCCCCACCAGCGCACCGAGCAGCTCCAAGCTGCGATCGGCGCGGAGGCGGCAGCCCAGCGGGGAAACCCCTGTCTCGGCAAGTGGGGACCACCTCGCGCTTGCCGGGGGGAGCTTCACCTGGAGGCCCACGACGGCGACATTGGCCACGAGCAGGTGGAGGAGGCTCCTGGCGGCCAACGCGGTGCCCGCGAGGCAACGAGAAGAAGCTTAGATCGACGGCGCCGTCGGCGCCGTGGCGCGGCGCGTGGCATGCGGCTCTGGCGGCGCGCTGTGGAGCCACGGGGAAGAGCAAAAACCCCTATGAGGCCGCCCTGCTGATGTTACCCTGCTCTTGGAGCGGATCGTCTGCTTGCCCAGGAAGAGAGTTGACGAGCGGAAGCGACACCAGCCAGCCCAGGGTGCCAGCCCAGGAAACTCGTCGTGGACCTCGCGGAGCAGAGTTTGCCTCTCCAGGGTGTTGAAGGCGTTGACCAAGTGCAGTCTCACGAAAACCTTCTCCAAGTCCCTTAGGTGGCCAGTGCCCCACTGGCGCGCATTGTGCGCCGCCGCTTCGGTGCCGCCGGGTTCCGCGTCGAGGGAGGCCTGTTGGTTATGCGCGGCGCCAGTTGCCTCGTGGCAGATGCAGTTGCCGACGAAGCGCCAGATCATTTGTGCGACGGCGATTGCGCGCAGGCCACCGTCTTTTTCGGACAAGGCCACACCAAGGAGGCGCCCGTGAAGTGTTCCTACATCGCCGACGGGGCCAGCCCCCTGGCGCATAGTGACCTCGTCCATGTGGACCGCGTTGAGCAGCGCGTTGGGGTCGGAGGCCCTTTGGCCCAGCAGCCGAGCCCTGGGGAAACCGCACTTGTGTGTGGAACGCGTTTCCATCTACCTGTCAGACACTAGCCGCGTGGACAGCCAGAAGGCTGGCGGGGTCCACTGTTTGGCGGCCGCATGGGTGTTTCGGACACATCTGCTCGACGACGCCTTGGGTGACCCCCACGGGCAACTCGCTGCTTCCAATCAGACCTTTCAGCCTCTGCCTCCACCTCTTCCTCCTCATCCTTTTGTTCCTCGTCCTCCTCCTCCTCTTCCTTCTTCTCCTCCTCGTTTTCTTGTTCCTTCTTTTCGGCCTTCTCCTCGTCCTCCTCCGCCTTTTCCATCTTGTTCATTTTTATTGTCCTTCTCCACCACCGCTTTTCCTTATAAATCGCTCCTCCCTGTCGCGCCGCGAGAGGTGCCAGGGGTGCGGGCAGCGCGTTTCGCTTGAAACGTCCTTACTACTGCTGGTCCTTCAGCTTAGATTGTGCGATATTTTCACGGATGGAGGGCTGACCGTTTCCAATATTTGTTTTTTTCGCCGTAGCGTCGCGAACATTCTTTCTCAAATGTTGCAAGAGCTTCGCGGATGGCGGGCGGCACGTGTTCAACATGTGGTTTTCGCCGTAGCGCCGCACACATTCGCCAGAAAAGTTTGCAAGAACTTTACGGATGGAAGGTGGTACCTGTTCGAAATATGGTTTTCTGGCCTAACCCCCGCCGACGTTCTTCTTGAAAGTTTGCAATCTCGATTCACGAACTGAGGGCGGTAACTTGTCAACATGTAGTTCTCACCTTAGCCCCGCGCAAATTCGGTTTCAGAGTTCACATCAGTTTCAAGGATTCGTATGGCTGACGTCCCCGAAGTGATGTTCTGACACGGTGCAGGACTGTCACGGCGCAACAATTATGTAATCGCTTCGCTCATTCCGCCGGCCCTGGAGCGCTATTTGGGGCCTGTTGGGGCCGTCTTGGGGGCCTCTTGGGGGTTTCTTGGGAGCGTCTTGGGGCTCCTTGGCGGCGTCTTGGGCCCCCCTGGGGCCTCTTAGGTGGCTCTTGGGGGGCGGGAGGCGGGGTAGTCGATTGCAGCCGCCCCCTCGGAGGCCACGATCCTCGTGAGTGGTGGCGAAAAATAGCCCTCCCCTTGGGGATCGCCCGGGACCCGGCCGGGGATCGGCCGGGGTCTTTTTCGTCCGGGGGCCCCCAGGGGATGCCCCGCGCGCGCGAACTACACATTTTGTGAAGTAGTTACCGGACATCTTAGCACACCTCTGGCCTGTTGGGCCAGCGAATTTTGACATTCCAGAAGTCGTGTTTTGGCTTTTTGCAGGATCGTCAGAGAGGATCGTCAGGACGCAAAAATCGCGTTGATTCACGGCGTTGAAATCCCAGAAATTGTGTTCTGGCACGGTTCGCGGATTTCCAGACGGTTGTCCTCCACTGGTCCACGGATTTCCACACGGTTGTCCTCTCCCATTCCGACGCGGCGCGGGTGCCCAGGCCTCTCCGCCCCGTCCCGCGGCGCTGCCGCTTCTTGTCCCTTCGGGGCCGACCCCGCTCTCTGACGGCCCCGGTCCTAGCCGCGCACGACCTCGACGAGGTGGACATCGAGGGCGCCATCGCGCGCTGGCGCCTGCGCCGGCAGACCCGCGAGTTGACGTGTCCGAGGGGTCTGACGAGGAGTACGTCACCCTCGCCCGGGAGCTTGCAGCTGCGCTGGGGCCGGCTGCCGTGAGGTCGCGGCGGTGCCGCTGCCACCTGCTTTTTTCCTTACCAGCCCTTTTGATTCCCGTTATTCCATTCCATTTCATTATCCGATGGCCCTGGGCGGCCCGATGGTGGGCCCCCAGTTCCTTGAGATCGGGTTGCAACTTTTCTGCGCTGGGCGCTTTTGTCCAAGATCATGTGATGAATAGAATGCTGTTCCAACCTCGCAATGAATTGCCCCTGCGGGATCCCTTCGGAAACCTGCAAGTGGCCTCGCTCGCTGCGAGCTCGGGGCCCACACGGCTACACATGGGACGTATATCGCAGCTCAGAGGAACAAGACTGCCACGACAGATGTGTGAAACTTGGCCACGGACACCCCCCGCGGGTCGATCCGGTCCGACGACTGGCGCAGCAGGGTGGGGCCCGGGGCCCTTGTCGCGGTTTTTCGCGATGCTGTTTTTTTCGCTGCGTAGAATCTCAGGGCTGACAGATGCTGACAGGCCCGAAAAATAGCGGGGGCCTGCCGTCACGTCACCTCATGGTTTTTCCACGGCCTCCGCCGCTCCGAAGGAGCTGCGCATCCTCGGCGACCACCCGCACCCGCACGTCGTCGGTCTCGTGGAGGTGATAGATGACCCTGCGCTCGACACGCTGTACGTGGTTCTGGATGGCTGGGCGCTCCCTGCCCATTTGACGAGGAAGAGATTCTGGTACGTCTGCTCGTCGTCCTAGAGTATCCTCGTCGCCACGGCCGGATTCTCCTCGAAATTCTGGTCAGAATGCATCCTGGGAGGGGTCTGGGGAGGAGCTGTATCTGTACCTTGTTACTCTCCCACGTTCCCTCTACCTGTTTCTTTCTCCTCATCCTCCTCCTCTTCCTCCTCCTCCTCCTCTTTCTCCTCCTCCTCCTCTTCCTCCTATTCCTCCTCCTGCTCCTCCTCCTCCTCCTCCTCCTCCTCCTCCTTCTCCTCCTCCTCCTCCTCCTCCTCCTCCTCCTCCTCCTCCTCATCCCCCCTCGTCTCCTCGTTTCCTTTTGTGCCTCCCTCCCTTCTCCTGTTTGGTCATCCTCCTCGTCCTCCTTTTCCTCCTTGTTGGCGATCGGCGCTGGCATGCTCTCCTTGGCATGCTCTCCTGCATCTTCCCCCGCCGCCGCTTTGGTTCCGACAGCGGCCCAGGACCGCAGGCTGACGAGGGAGGGGACCCTTTTGGCATTGTGAGCGCCTTCGAGGGAAAGTATTATCTGCCTCGTTGTTGGTAGCAGAACGCTTCAGTGAACCGGGTTCGATCCACGTGTTTACGGGTCGTTGCGCCTGGAAGTCAGGATGGCCTGCACACCGCGGCGCCGTGCAGAGCGTCGGTGACGCAGCGCCGGCGACGCCGTTTTTCTTACAGCACGCAGCCTGGAAGGCAGCACAGCCTGCACACGGTGCCGCCGTGCAGCGCCTCGGTGACGCAGCGCCGGTGGCGCTGCTTCCTGCCGGGCGGAGAGCGCCAGTGGGCGGCCGCCCTCCGCGCGGCAACGCAGCCTGCGCGGCCACGAGGAGGGACAGCCCCTGCAGTGCGGGGGCGCGCTCGAGCGGAACTCCCGCGGCGCCGTCACCCGGCGGGAGAGCGGGGCGGAGCAGGCAGAGGAGGCCGCGGGGCCGGAGGAGCGGGAGCCCACGGAGCCGAAGAGGCCGAGGAGGCCGAGGGCCGCAGCCGCGCCCCGCCCAGAGGAGGGCCAGAGGGGGGGGTAGGCGCCCCAGGGCCGAGGCCCTGGGGCAGCGGGCCGGGATCCTGGGCGCCTGGGCCCCTGAGGAGGGAGCCCTCCGTGAGCAGCGGGTGGAGCAGAGCGGCCAGCGGCCCGGCCGGGCGAGAAAGAGCCCTGCGGAGCTCCTGCGCAGCACGCCGTGCTCGTTTCTCACCACCCACCAAACCACCCCAACCCAACCCGAAGGCCTCAATTTGCCCTCCATTTCCAGTTGGGGGGGGTCGGGGAACATCGAAAAAACACGTATGGAACCCGTACCCCCCCCCCAACGCGAAATTGGGGTCTTCGGGTTGGGTTGGGGTGGTCTGGTAGGTAGTCAGTTTCAGCGCGTGGCGAGGGCCCCCACGCAGTGCCCGGGCCACAGGGCCGGGCTGGGTCCGGCGGGCTCCGGGGCGGAGGAGGTCAAGCAGTGGCGAAGCGTCCTGGCTCGCCTGTAGCCACACCAAACGGTGCTCTAAGAACCTCGTGTGGTTTCCACGGAATGTTCTTAGAGCATTTCTGGTTGAGGCTGTCTTGTTTTAGCACATCGGGTTCATGTTCTAAGAACCTGGTTTTTGTTATTAGAGCATTTTGGGGTTCTAAGAACATTTCGTGGTAGGACTATAGGAATGCCGGGACGGTCGGTCCCTGCTCAAGGAAGGGGAGAGGCAGTGCTGAAGCTAGGCGCTGGCATGTTGTCTTGCCTCTTCCCCCGCCTGCCGCTTCGGTGTTGCAGGGGCCCCTGGCCGCGCAGGGGTGGCACTTTTTTGTCCCTGTGAGCGCCTGCGATGCAAAAGAACCGTCACCTCGGCACTCCTTTTCGAAATTCGTTCCCCTCCTCCTCCTCCTCCTCCTTTTCAACCTCATTCCTCCCATCTCTCCTCTATTTCCTCTTTGCTGGGTATTCCCCAATCGCGCCACCATAAGCATCGCTAGGGCGGGCCAGTGGTTTCGCTTGAATTCCCCTCACCGCTGAAGACCCTGAAGATAGAGCAGGCAGCCATTAAACGGATTAGGAGAAGGATCGGTGTCAACATTGTTTTTACGTTTTGGCGCCGCGCACATTCTTTGCAAGCGAATCGGGCAGCTACACGGCCTTGGCGCCACGGGCTTCCGTTTCTAATTGTCCAGCAGGTGCATGTATGTAGGCGGTCTTTTTCCATATACGTAAGGGTTCTCGGCCCGGGTCAACCCCACCAGGGTCGTCCAACCTGGGGGCGGGATGGCGTCGTCCGAACGACACCAGAGCCATTAGCTCTAAGCTCTTGAGGAGAAGAAGGAGGAGGAGGAGTAGGAGTAGGAGGAGGAGGAGGAGGAGGAGGAGGAGAAGAAGGAGGAGGAGCTCCCTCCCCAAGAGGAGGGCATGCGCGGTGGGCAGCTCATGGAGTGGTCAGACGACCACAGCGCCTACGGGGCGCGCTCCGAGCCGTCGCAGGCCCTCCCAGGGCGACGAGGAGCGACGACGACGACGACGATTCCACTGCCTCCACCGACGATGACGACGACCGACGGCGGACGGCGAGGAGGAGGACGACGACGACGTCGAGGAGGAGGAGGAGGAGGAGGAGGAGGAGAAGGACGGCGACGACGACGACGACGCCGATGCCGACGACGACGACGACCGACAGCGGACGACGATGGCGACGACGAGCGACGGCGGACGAGGAGGACGACGAGGACGAACGCGGCGACAACGAGTGACGGCGACGACCGGCGGCGGCGGCGAACGGACACGATGGACGACGAGCGACAAGCGATGAGCCACGAGCGACGTCGGATGAACAATGACGAACGAATCAACGAAGGCATGACGCAAGACGACGACTGACTTACGACAGGTGACAACGACGGCTCAGACAGCTGAAGTTACGTTTTCACGTGGGTGTTCGGCATGCCGGATCGCTTCTTGACTCTTGACGGTGGCCACGCCCGAAAAAGGTCGCCAGAGCAAAAAAAACTCAAATATTGGAGCCGATACGAATGTTGGAAGGGGGGATTTCAGACAACACATGCTCATACACTTCTGCACAGCGATGGTGCGCCATACTTCGTTATATGCTATGCTCTACTGCGTGCTTTAGCGCGGTCCGTGTCTTTCGCCTGGCGATGTTTCACACTGCTCGCCATTTTCCTTGGGCCTACTGGAGCCTGGTGTGCTTCCAAGCTGGAGCCGCCTGAGGCGTCCGCGGGCTGCTGGAGTCTCCTGGGTCTCCGCGAGGGCTTCCCTGGGCTTTTGCAGGGTCTCCTGGGGCCTCCGTGGGTTCATTCCCTACGTCCTCCTCCCCCACCTCCCGGTCCCCTTCTTTCCTCTGCCACCCACTTTGAGCGCACGGTGCCCCGACCGGAGCCGCGAGGTAGAGGGCGGCAGCGCGACACGTCGTCCAATTTTACCAGGTTGTCCCGAGCACGCTTGGGGTCCAGCGGGCCGACCCGAGCGGGCGAGAGCCAGCGAGAGGGCCCCATCCCGCCCCCTTCCTGCTCCGACGTGTGCGTGTCCGTCGATCTCCTCCTCTCGCCCCCCTCCCCTCCCCCCTGCGCAATTTGCGCGCTCCTCCGCTCGACCACCTCCGCGGCGCCCGCGGCCCGCGCTCTCTCTCTCTCTCTCTCTCATTTGCAGCGGGGGGCGCGTGCCAAGAAACCAGCTGGATTCTGCTAGGGTGCCCTGGGTTTCTTGGATCTCGATGGGCCCCCTAATAAGATCTTGACGATTTTCAATGGACGAGTTTGGATCTTTTCACTGCACAAACCGCGGATTTCAGGGTTGGGTTTCTTGCGGAGGAGGAGGAGGAGGAAAAAGAGGAGGAGGAGGAGGAGGAGGAGGAGGAGGAGGAGGAGGAGGAGGAAGAGGAGGGAGGAGGAGGAGGAGGAGGAGGAGGAGGAGGAGGAGGAGGAGGAGGAGGAGGAGGAGGAGGGAGGAGGAGGGAGGAGGAGGGAGGAGGAGGAGGAGGAGGAGGAGGAGGGAGGAGCAGCAGGGACGTGCCCCTGCTGCGTGTCCCTGTCCAGGGGACGAGCGCGGGCGAGTGGTGCCTCTGGCACCGGCGAACCCCCCTCCACCGGGCGGCACGGGGCGCCCGCCGCTGTCGCGCAGCCACCCCCCCCCGCTCGGGGCCAGGGGCAGCGCGAGCGGGCACCCGGACCACCGCCCAATCACAGTCTTACAGGCCTCGGAACAAATTAGCGAGGCCTGTCCTCAGAGGAGGGGAGAGAGAGGGTTGAGCGGATGAGCGCGCATGGCGCAGGGGGATGGGGGAGAGAGGAGGAGACCGACGGACACGCACACGTCGGCGCAGGAAGGGGGCGGGAGGGGGCCCTCTCGCTGGCTCTCGCCCGCTCGGGTCGGCCCGCTGGTCCCCAAGCGTGCTCGTGACAACCTGGGGGGACTGGACGACGTGTCGCGCTGCCGCCCTCTACAGGCCTCGGAACAAATTGGCGAACACATGCCACATTCATCCGTCAACGCCTCCCCCTCCCCCCCAATGTTCAAAGTTGGCGGTGGGTCTGATGAGGTGCACTTCGACCGCAGTCTCCCCCGCGCGTGCCAACATTGAGTTTTGGGGGGGAGGACTGTTCAGTAATTGTTTCCCTCTACCGTATCGGAGGTGGATAGACCTCCTACCCTGACGCGTCGATTCAGGAATGGGCCGTTCTCGGCTCGCGTCGCGGCGCGGCCGTCGTTTTTGCGGGTCCAGGTCCGTCGGTTTCGGTCCCAGGCCGTTTTCACGAAAGGGAGGTTTACCAAAGGGAGGTTTGTCCACCGCCGATCTTAGTCATCTCGACACGCACGGTTTGATACGCAGCACGTGCCGTACTCGAGACGTCCGTGCCAATACGCTGCGTGTCGGCTTCACGTATTGGACCACGTTTCGGCGAACGTAACGCGTCGGACCCACGTATTCAGGATGCGTGTTGAGCTCCGTATCAATACGCTACGTGTTGCGTGTTGCGTATGCGTATCACCGAGGGGCCCATTCCTCGATACCATGGGCGCCTCCCAGAGCCAGGAGGCGCCAGGAAAGTCAGCTGAGCTGATTCTCAAACCCACCCCCTTTGCTATCCCCCCCTTTCACCCCCTCGCGCCCTCCGCTTCGGATGCAACTCCGGGGAGGTCAAGTTCTGTTTTTGCCCTGTTCCGACATCTGGCTTAATCCAGGCTAATCCCGCTTACTCCCGCTGAATCCGGTTTTCTCCCGCTGGATCCCGCTGAATCCGGCTTAATCCGAGGCCCACTCCGGCATAACAGCCCCCCAATGGGGCTTAATCCTTTTTAATTTTTCCGGCGAAAGCCTCCCAGTAGTTGCCTCCTAACTCCACGATGCCCTTTTTTTCAAGCAGTGGCGAAGCTTCCTGGCTCGCCTATAGCCCTACCAAGCAGTGTTCTGAGAACCTTTTTTTGCGGTTTACATGACATGTTATCAGAACATTTCTGGCGGAGTCTTTCTTGTTTTATCACATCGAGTCGATGCTCTAAGCACATTGTTTTGGTTATTAGAACATTTTGGGGTTCTAAGAACACTTCGTGGTAGGACTTTAGAAATGCCGGGACGGTCGGTCCCTGCTCAATTTTTTGAAAGGCATTCACCACATGCGCGGCCTTTACGAGGAAGGCGCAAACAAGTTGATGTTCGAGTGTCTTGCTGTTTGGTTTTCCTCCTTAGAGAGGCGCCCTGGTAGGCAGGAGAGGGGAGCGGGCGGCCACGCGCAGAGGGGGGTTAGGGGGAGGGGGGACGGCGTCTTAGGAGGCTGCTTCTTGGAAGGCGCGGGCCTTGTCTATGGATGCAGGGCCAGCGCCTTCTCAGAAGCAGTCTCCTTCTGAGAAGCCTTCCCCCGTTCCCCTAGAGTCAACCCGCATAATCAGGATGGGCAGCCTTCCCAAGGATACCCTTGCATCCTTGTCCCTCCGACCCATCCTCAGCGACCGTCCCTGGCCAGTCTCGTTCGAAAAACGCCAACCTGGCCCTCCAAGGCCCTTGCATCCTTACCGCGCATCTTTATGATAATGGTTGCATGTGGTCCCTTATGTGTTTTTTTGCATCTGCGTGATTCGCTGTCCCGCGAACCCTACTCGTGGACCTCGGTGGGAATGGTTCCTGCTTACACGAGGGCGACAGCGATGCCAATGCCGATAGATGTAAGCGTTGTGCGCGCCGCCAGAAACGACGCGTGGACCGAAGCCCTCGGGCCGACGGCACCCCAGGCCAGCGTGCTGGTCTACCAAGAGGCGGCCGCCGCGGCGCTGCTGGGGCAGCTGCTGACGGCCGTCGCCCACCTGCACGGGCACGGCATAATCCACAAGGACTGGCAGCCCACCTCCTCCTTCTCCTCCTCCTACCGATCCTCCTCCTCCTCCTCCCCATCCTCCCCCTCCATCTCAACCTTCTCCTCCTCCCCCCCTCCTCCACCTCCTCTTCGTCATCCTCCTCCTCCTCCTCCTCCTCCGTCTCCTCCTCCTCCTCCTCCTCCTCTTTCTCCTCCTCCTCCTCCTCCTCCTCCTCATCCTCCTCCTCCTCCCCCCCCCTCCTCCTGCTCCTTCTCCGCCTCGTCCTCCTCCTCCTTCTCTCCTCCTCCTCCTCCTCCTCCTCATCCTCCTCCTCCTCCTCTTCCTCTCCTCCCCTCCTCCTCATCTCCTCCTCCTCCTCCTCCTCCTCCTCCTCCTCCTCCTCCTCCCCCCTGTCCTACTTCTCCTCCTCATCCGCATCCTCCTTCTCCTCTTCCGCCTCCTCCTCCGTCTCCATCCCTGGTGCTGGTGAAGGGGGGAGGATGATAATTTGAGACCTGAGCCCTGGAAACAACAGGGCAGTGTTTGTTTCTGGTTCCGTTTTGCAGTTTGGTTGTTGGTTCCAGCGCCGTTTATTCCCTGATTCCGTCGAGTTGTTATTCTCGTTCTGACTCCGGCTCCAATGCTGGAGCCTGATTTCCCCGTTTCCAGGAGCAGTTGCTCACATCGACTTCACATTCCATGCCGTTTACGGGGCCTTTAACAAGCTGGGGGCCGTTGAGGGCGATGGTGCTTTTTTCCAGCGGAATGAGCCAATGACCTTTTGGTGAGCGGGCTCAAAGAAGAACCAGATACCGATACCACCACCCTCTTCCCTCGTCACCACGTCTGGATTCGCCTCGGAAGCTTGGGCAGAAAGCATCCTCAGAGAGCTCCGTGGAGTAGCGGTACTTTTTTGACCCGCAGGGGTTGAGTTGCGCGGAGACGCGGGGTTTGAAACGCAACGCGTGCGGTGTTCACAGCGTGCCCGGTCCAGGCGTCACGTGTTGGTGCAACACGTGGGCTTGCATTTTGGCGAACGTATGCGGCCAGGGCTACTTTTTGAGTCTGCGTGGTGAGGCACGTGTCAACACGCTCTGGGGGGGAGGATGAGGAAGAGGAGGAGGAGGAGGAGGAGGAGGAGGAGGAGGAGGAGGAGCAGGAAAGGGAGGACCAACGCTGGCGCAATTGGATATTGGGAGCGGCCCGCGCTCTCCGAGAGCGCCTGCTGCCAGTCCCAAGAATGAATTATGCAAAGCGCACAGAGGTGGCGCGCATTAGCGTTGTGGAAGTCGATTCATGGACTGGAAGCATGCTGCCAAAGGATTTCCAGATGTCCACAACATGCCTGGAACATCCTCTACCTTCTAAGCACATGTTACACCCAATGATAGGACTGTTTGGGCGTCCGTTGTCGTGGCATCCGCAAGAATGATGCAGCGCGCACAGAGGTGGCTCGCGTCAGCGCGCGCGGGGGTGGCCCCGCCTCCAGAGCCCGCCGGCCGCGCGCGGGCGGAAGCGGAGCCCCGAGAGAGTCCCCCGGCGCGCCGCCTCGGCAGGCGCTGACGAAGCGTCGCGCGGAAGAGAGGAGGAGGAGAAGGAGGAGGCGGAGGAGGAGGAGGACGAGGCGGAGGAGGACGAGGCGGAGGAGGAGGAGGAGGAGGAGGAGGACGAGGTGGAGGAGGAGCAGGAGGAGGAGGAGAGGAGGAGGAGGAGGAGGAGGAGGAGGTATGCCGCGCCCAGGCGGGAGCCCCATCTGCAGAGCAGGCGCGCGCGGTGCCATAGGGCGCGAGCGCACCTGCCACGTCGGCGACACAACGCCCCCCCCCCCGTGCTGCTAGGAGGAGGAGGAGGAGGAGGAGGAGGAGGAGGAGGAGGAGGGAGGAGGAGGGGGAGGAGGGCATGCCGCGCCCAAGCGGGAGCTCTATCTGCAGAGCAGGCGCGCGCGGTGCCGTAGGGCGCGAGCGAACCTGCCACGTGCTGAAAGTGGAGGCGTCGACCTCGAGCCAGGATCCTGCACCACAGTCAGGCACTCGACGTGTGGCTTCTCCCGTCGGGGGGCGATTCTTCTGGCTCGCAGCGGCCGAGGGCCTGTCGCTGGGGCCCAGGACTCGGCAGTCGGGCCTCGGGGAAGCGGTCCCCCAGGTGCCCCTCCGCGGGGGACGCGCGGCACGCGGGTGCGGGCTGCTGGCCAAAGAGGGCGCGCTCCCGGCCGGCGTGGAAGACCGTCGAATCGCCAGGGAGGCGGCTTCAGGGGAGGGAGAACCACCTGGACCCGATCAGTGGCGCCTGCTAGACGGCCCTGGGCGTTTACGAAGCAGCCCTGCCCTGTTCGATTCCTTCCCTGGGTGCGCCTAGTACACTGTTTCGCTTGTCGGGGTGATTCTTCTGGGGGGGGAATTTTCTGCCCTCTATGGAAGAGCGCCAAATCGCCAGGGAGACGGTTCGCGATCGCGAGGACAAACATTCGGAGGGGGAAGAGGGGGAGGGGCGGGGAGGCGAGGGAGGAGGAGCCGCTGTGGCCGCAGCCGTGTCCGTCAGCCCCACGACGGGCATCATTTTTCCTGTGTCCAAACTGACCAAGTCTCGTGCCAACTCGCGAGAGAACATCGAAGTCGCGCCGTGGGGGTCTTGCCCCCGCCGTCCAGAGTGGAGGCCAGCGCCCGCCGAGGGCGGAGAGCCCTCCAGCCGAGAGCCCCAGCCGAGAGGCTCGCGGGCGGGGAGGCCTCCAGCCGAGAGCCCGGCGCGCCCGTGGTCTCTGATGGGGCCGCTCAGCAAAGAGTACCCAAATTGGGGGAAAATAAACCTACCTCGCTTTTGACCACCCTCGCTTCCAAGGGATACCAATCAATGCCAAATTGCGGCCTGTACTGGTCAGGCCGCTTGACGAGGAGGTGCGTGGTATGGCTTGGTTTTGCCTGGAAGCGAAAGCGGGGGAGGTAATTCACGCTCCGACCAAATGCGCCTCTCAACTTTGCAGAGGCCGCTCAACGGTGACGCATCGTCGAGAGCCATCTGGCGGTGTCGCGTCACGGTCAGACATTTGGGACCGGCGTGTCGCGCCGCTGGTTCTCTCGCCCACCTCGCTTCGGCTCGGCACGCGATCCACGCAGTAGTCGCCAGGCGTCAGCGTCGTGAGCATGCCGAGGCCTCCCGCCCTAGGGCGCGGAGCGACACGCAACCCGCTTGCAAGGCATACCGTGTTGCAGGCGCCGCCGCGCCGAAAAGTTCATCCAAAGTTCCTGACCGTAATTGCGACCAGACTTGCAGGCCCCCGCTCGACACAACTTTGGCACCCGCTTCTGCATTGTGGGTGAAAGATGTGGACGATTTCGCGTGATGCATGTGTTGCACTTTTCATATCGTATATCACGGAAGTTTCCCCTCGTCTTGGATTACATGTGTGCTGGCCCGCCCAATATCGCTAAATAGCGCCAGCTAGCGCCCAATAAGGCCCAGTAGCGCCCAATGGCTTGAACAATTGCGCCCAACAGCGCAGAGTAGCGCCGAATAGCGGACAAAATCGAAGATGTCGCGCCACAGGGAGATTGGGGCCGCTCAACAGGTAGTGCCCAAATGTGCCTGTCAATTTTGCAGGGGCCGTTCAATAATGTCGCATCGTCAATAGCCGCCAGGCGGCGTCGCGTGATTTGCCAACGGACTTGTAGTCTCCCGATCGACGCAACTCAGGCACTGGTCCTTGCATTGTGAAGGTTAACAGATATGGGTGGCCTCGCTTGATACATGTGCTAAAATACAGTGCTTATCCCTAATGTTTCTTAGCCCCTCACCGCCTTCCACGACAAACCTAACTTCAGATTATTGACGCCCCCCCTTGGGTTGATGTGAGCAGGTGGGCCGTCGGCAGGGGGTCTGATGTGGATTGGCGGGCGCTGGTTGGGCGAGCAGCGGGCAAACGCTTGCGCGCCGCGGAGCAGACTCGGGAAGAGCGTCCCTAGTTGATTTGGGTCACCTCCCAAAAGGTTAGGGATATTTTGTTCGTAAACAATAGAACCTTACTAGACGGGTAGACGGGTGGTACGGAAGGACCCGTTGTGTTTCGCCATTTGGGCGCCAGGTGGCGGAGTGAGAGCATACCCCATTCAGGAAGTAGGGAACAAGTAAGAGTGGGGACGGGGGAAGATAGAAGGAGTGGGAGTATAAGGGAGTCAGAATCTGCCCCGTTCAGGGAGTGGGGAGGACGTAAGGACAGATGCAGAGAATGGAGTAGCGAGAGGAGGGAGGAGAGGGGACCTTGACGGCGAGGAGGGTTGACCGTGACGTCGTTCGCCCCTCTTGGGCCTCCGAAAGCGGCCCGCGCCGCCACGCCTGGATCCGCTTCGGCAGTCCTGCTTAGATCGCGGTCCTTGGCATTTCTGCTTCTTGTTGCGGGGGGAGAAGGAGGGGGATGAGGATGATCACCGAGAACTACACAGTGGCCCTGGGGCCCAGGACCCGTTTCCCCAAGGACCTGCTTACCCCCGTGCTAAGCCTGGGGTTCTGTTCTGGCCTCCTGCTGGTGAGAAGGCAGCAATGTGTCGTCGCCGACCTTCCTGTCTCATCGAAGCCCCCCCAGACGCCCCCAGGCCCTCGCGACTGTGCCCTCGCCTTCTGAGACGCACCCCGCCAGCTCCGAAGTCCACGCCCTCTCGCCGCACCTTTTTTTTAGGGGGGGGCCCAGACGGTGTGGTGCGCACGCCGCACGGTGAGCCCGTGGGGGCTCGGGGTCGCCGCACGGTGTTGGGGGCTCCGCGTGTGCCTCGCGTGGCTGGGGCGTCCAGGGCCCCGAAGCCGTGCGGTGACGGAGTGACGGACCGTGTGGTGAGGTCTCCTGAGAGCTCGAAGTCGCCGGCCGCGCGGCCTGTCGCACCACACGAAACGTTCCGGGGAGCCCCAGCCCGTGCGCGCCGCCGGTCTTCGGCCTTCGAGGGGGCAGTGCCCAGCAGCAGTAGCATACTGTGGAGAGGAAACATGCTGCCAAATAGTTCCCAGATGTCCCAAACACGTGTCAAACATGTTTTTGTATAAAAATAATTTGCTCGAAGCATGTTGATAACATTTTTCCTACATGGAAACGCATTCAAAAGTCAATGGTCGGACTGTTAGGGTGTCCATTGTCGTGGCATCCACCACAGCAGTACAGTCGGGGCCAAGAAGAAGGAACCCTTTTGGTTGGGGAGGGGCTCCGTGTTCCTCAAGTGTTTCACAGCTTGCCTCAGGTGTTGCTTATGTTTTCGACGGGAGATCGAAGCTTAACCCATGGAAAAAGGGGCCTCGTTCCTTATTTAGGGTTCCTTAGGTCAACGCCCCGACTGTAAAATTCAATGATCGGACTGTTAGGGTGTCCACTGTCGTGGCATCCACCACAGCAGTAGGCAGCACGGACCGGGAGTCGACACGAGGGAGGGCCGCGGGCAGGACCTGAAGCCGGACAACGTCCTGCTCGGCCTGCCCGTGCCCGCCGCGGACCCGCGCCTCGTGCGGCCGCTGCCCGCGCGAGGGGCCGCCGAAGGTGCCAAGGCGGGGCCGCCGCCACGATAGGGATTTGTTTTACATATATATATATATATATTATAAAATAGGGTCTGGCGATACCGTACGTGGACATTACAGTCGAACCCTGTGGTCCAAGATATGCCCCCGCGATCCCCCCGACATTAGTATTGCTGGCGCGGCGACGGGGGGGGGGGCGTGAGTGGACAGAGAAATACTCGAACCCCAAGGCGCCGCCTTTGCTGAGATCAGCATGGATGTCGGGGGCGCGGGGGTGATTTAGAATCTCCCTCGAAGGTGTGAGGGTTCGAATATATCGTCCATCTACTGTAACCCGGGTTATCGGGCTTCCCCCCCCCCAGGATAACCCAGCCTTGCCGGTTGTGCAGGTCCGCGGGAGGGGGGGGGGGCGCGGGCATGTGCAGGGCTGCCCACAGCGCGAGGGTCAGGTTATCGGCCGGCCCCCTCCTCCACCCCCCCCCGGGATAACCCAGGTCATCGCCGATTCCAACAAAAAACATTCCATATACGATCCGATTCGCAGGCGGGGGGCGCGGCTGATAAATCCTGGCTGCGCACAGACAGCCCGCCTCTCGGGTAGTCCAGTTGGTCGCAACAGGTCCCTCGAGTACAGTGGAGGCCCGACCACAAGAGACCTTCCACATGAGACCCAACCCGGAGACCCCAAGACATTCCATGGATTTGTGGTGCGGGAACGTCACGCTCTCCGTGGCAAGACCACCGAAACCCAAGACACCCAGGGCACCCACTGGAGGCAAGCAGGGTGCTTCTTGGCATGGGCCCCCTCTGTCGTCCCGCCTGGCCTCAGCAGGCCCCCCCGGAGTGGCCCGTGGCGGTCTCAGCGCCACGGCGCCGCCTCCGGCGGCGTCCCACGGGGCGCTCCGCGCCCTCGTCGTGGGGCCGTTGGGACCGCCTCGCGGGCGGACTGTTGCGGGGGGCCCGTGGAGGCCGGGTGGGGCTTCGTGGGGGGGGGGACGGTCGAGGCCGGCTGGGGGCTGCACTCGGCGGGGCTGCCCGTGCGCAGAGCGAAGCCTTCCAGGCCACGCTTCCGATCCGATCTCGCCCGCCTATAGGCTCCGGCCACCGGGAGCTGGGCGCGGCGATCCCCCTTGCGATCCGACCCGCGGGCGATGCGATCCGTCGCCGGCCCGATCCGCTTCTCCGCGATCGGCGGCGACTCGCCGGCGACCGCAGGCCTGCCCCGAGGCCCCCACGGCCGACGGCGCTCTGCGGGAGCTCGTGCGCCAGTGCGGCTTCGTGGCGAAGGTCGCGGACTTCAACACGGCGGTCGCGCCGGGGGATGAACGCCAGCCTCGGGCCAAGGGGGCGCCTGAGAGAGAGCAGGGGGCTTCCCAGAGAGAAAGGCAGCGCCCGGGGGCTTTTGCAGAAGGCTTCTCGGCTCCTCAGAGGCTGGGAAGACCCTCAGACCCTGCAGGCGTTGCAATTTTTGGGGGGCCAGGCTTTCCCGCCCAGTTTCGGGCCCCGGGACCCTCACAGATCGATCTGGCTTCAAACATGAAGTAGGAAGATGGGGTCCAGAGGTCCAGGGCTCCGGCCGTTTTTTACGATGTTGCAGGTGCTTCCAAGACCCCTGCCCCCCAACTGCAGGCGGCTCAGGACGATCGACACGGGTACGGTAACACTGGGTCCAAAGTCCGACAGCATTTTTGTTCCGAACAGGGTTCGTCTTCGGCGACGCCGCGGCCGCTGTCCATTGGAGATGTAAGATCGCCTGCCCATCAGCGGCCACTGTGGGTTTGGGACAGCATGTGTTGCTGGGCATTGTGCCCCTGTTCCTCGTACCCATTACTGGTGCAAAAGAAGCATCCTCCGATAAGATTTGCCCCCAGCGCTCTCGACCATTTCTGAGGGAGTAGCCCCGTGCCCCAGCAATAAAGCGTACCCCCCCCTCTCCACGTAAGAACTGATTATCCCAGGCCAGGACAGAGTTGGTCGGGGGAGAGGGGCGGCAAGGCCGAACCTCATGACCACCAGGGAAAGGACGAATCGAAGTTGCTCTCTTCTCATGTTGAGCAGCAGCAGTATCACGAACTTGTGGCAGTCCGATGGGATCCCTAACCGTTTCAGCGTTCCCAAGGCGCGAGCGTGTGGCAAGGCCACAGGGTTCGCACCATTGTCAGCTTCTCCAGGCCAGGGCCATGTGTACAGGGTTCTTGCCGCTGCAGCTTTCCCAAGTCACGAGCGTCCCAGCCCGACCTCCGTACACGCGAGCTGCCGGGACGAAGAAGCGATGCTCCCCCCAGAGCCCGGAGCTTGACTACAGTCGGGGCGCTGGAGAAGGAACCCTTTTTCGTTGGGGGAGGGGCTCGGTGTTCCTTGATTGTTTTACAGTTTGCCTTGGGTTTTCCTTCGGTTTTCCATGGGGAATCGAAGTTTAACTTATGGGAAAATTGGGCCTCGTTCCTTATTTAGGGTTCCTTAGGTCAAGGCCCCGACTGTATCCCCTGGGGTTTATTCTCGGGGGCAGACAGGGCCAACGCCACGCCCCAGCACCAGGCTTCAAGGGAGGAAAAACCACCCGGACCAGGCAATCGGCGTTTACAAAACGGCCTTGGGCGTTTACCGAACAGCCCTGCCCTGTTCGATTCCCTCAGGGGGGGCGTTTAGTAAACGGCCTCGCGCGTCGGGGTGGTTATTCTGGGGGTGGGTTTTTAGCTTTCTAATGCTTCCACGAGACCCTCGGGTCGGGCGAAATTGGGGACTCGCAAAGGGGGGGGGTGAGAATTAGCTCACGTATAGCTGATTCTCCCGGCGCCTCCCGGCGCCAGAGGCGACTATGCATCGAGGAATGGGCCCCTCGGTGAGGCCGAAATCAGCTGCATGCAGCAAATTCCGCATTCTATTAGTGAATTTAATCGGTTTTAGGGCTTTAACAAATGGTCGCAGCCACGCAGAGGGCGTGCGTAGCGACGCCCCAAGTGCTCGGTCTCCAGTACTTCCACGTGGCGGCGCCCCCGCAGGCACGCAGAGGGCACGCGTGGCGACGGGGGCGTCGCCACGCAGAGCTCCTAAAGACGAGACATTTTGAGAACCGATCGTTTCCGCTACTAAAGTACCCCCCCCTTTCCCAATCCCCCCCTTTCGTCCGGCCCGAGACCCGCGGGGCCCGGAGGGGCGGCCCCCCAGAGGCCGAGTGCATGATCTGCGGGCGGCGCGCCGGGGCAGGGCGAGGCGGATCGCCGGAGGCCCCGGGGAGGTGCCCCTGCCCCCCCCCCCAAGGCTTCCTCGGGTGACCGCCCCCTCTCGCACCGCCCCTGCCTGCGCGCGCAGCCGACTGCCACACACAGATATATATATATATATATATAAAAAATATAGGTGTGTGTACACATATACATACACACATAAGTACATACATGCATACATGCAGACATACATGCATACACACATTCATACATACAAGCATACATACATACACACATACACACATACACGCATACATACATATCTACACACCTACATATCTACATACATACCTACATACATACAGACATACATGCACACATACATACGCACCTACATACATGCATACACGCATACATACATACATACATACACACACACATACACACACACACACATACATACATACATACATACATACATACATACATACATACATACATACATACGTTCATACATACATACATACATACATACATACATACATACATACATACATACATACATACATGCATGCATGCATGCATACATACTTACATACATACACACATACATACATACATACATACGTACATATGCATACATGCGCACATACATGCATACATACATACATACATACATACATACATACATACATACACGCATACATCCATGCATACACACATACACACATACATCCATACATCCATACATACATGCATACGCACATCCACACATACATACATGCATGCATGCATGCATTCATGCATGCATGCATGCATGCATGCATGCATACATACATACATACACACATACATTCATGCATACATACATACGTACATACATACATACATACATACAGTTGCACATACATGCATACATACATACATGCATGCATGCAAGCATACATACATACATACATCCATCCATCCATACATACATACATACATACATATATACATACATACGTACATATATACATACATACATACATCCATCCATCCATCCATACATACATACATACATACATACATACATGCGTACGTACGTACGTGCATACATACATACCTACATGCATGCATGTATGCATGCATACATACATGCATACATACATACATACACACAGACGATATATATATATATATACATGTGCACGGCAGGCCTGGGTCGCCCCCGAGCGGCGAGCGCTGGCGCCGGCGCTGGCGCCGGCGCTGCGAGTGGAGGGCCGGTTTGGTGCTTGCTTCGGGCCAGGGGGCTCATCCCGAAGGGCCTGGCAGCTTTTCTCTGGACGCCCGAAATGGGCACTGAAAGAATGGGTATTATGCCCAACTGCAGTTCCTGTTCATTCTGAACAGGATTCGCTGTCCACGCCGCCGCGGCCTGTGTCCATTCGAGACAGAGGGCCGCCTGCCCAGCAGCGGCCGCTGTTGGTTTGGGACAACATTTGCTGTTGGGCATCGTACCCAATCTTTCGGTACCCATTTCGGGCGTCCAACTTTTCGCAAGTCGACATGTGGGGTTGGAGCCGGATAAAATCAAGGCGAATGCAGATGAATCAAGCCGAATCGAGATAATTAAATCCGGGTAGATCCCGAGATCTCCGGGAAGCCTGGAGCACAGTGTTGCCGCTCCACCACCGCGAGTCGAGGGGCTGCAGAAGTCGTTCAGCCTCTCATGACCTCTGAAGTCAACCCGGGCCCGTGCTTCCGAGATCGGTCCGCGGTGGGCTTGGCCCGAGCCGAGGGTGGTCTGGCCAGGGCCGCTGCCAAAAGTGCGGCCTGCGCCCCCGCAGGTCGTGTGCGCGCTGCCCGATTGCCACATCTGGGATGCGGAGGGCACCCAGCAGTTCACGCCGCCGGAGTGCTTCGACCCCCAGCGCGACGGAGGCCTGGCAAGCTGACGTATACGAAAGACGACGGAGATTCATCGCCGCCTCAGAGTGCTCGGGAGCGCCCCGGGAGCGTTCCGGCGCACTGCGGAACGGCCGCGGCGACGGATGCATCGTCTGGATCCCGCCAGCGTCCAGAGGTCCCAGGGCTTAGTGGGCCCTGGAAACGAGAGGGCCGTTTTTTCATCGGTTCCGTTTTGCCGTTTTTTTGCCGGTTCCGACGCCGTTTTTTTTTGCCGGTTCCGTCACCGTTCTTTTACCGGTTCCCGCTCAGGTTCCAATTCTGGAGCCGTTGTTGCTGCCGTTTTCGGTCGCTGTTCTTTTGCCGTTTCCATTGTCAGGTTTTTTTTCGGAAGCGGTGAAAAAAAGGCCTTGCCGTGTCCGGGGCTCAGGGAAATTGAAAACACCAAAAATTGTCCCCAAATGGTCAAACAATACTTTAAAAATTCGTCCACCGATTATTTTTCGATTATTTCGAATACTCATCATGTAGAGGGACAGGACAGGCCCGACTCAACGCTACGCAGAACGGGTGGGCAAGCATAGGACCTCTTTGAACAAACCACCCGGTAGTAGAAACGACCCCAGACCAGGACCTGCGGGCGCAGCACCTTGTCTCCATCTTGCCTTCGTCCGGAGGCAGTTCTCTGTCGGGCGGCGTGCGAGCCCTTCGATGGGAGCCTTAGCGGGATGAAGCAGCGGCGGGCGCTTCTGCTTCGCTCGGGGGCCCTCTTGGATCGAACCGCATCGAGGAGTCCCTCGCGAGGATGGCGACGAACGAACAGCACACATCGACTACGCAAAAGAGTGACCCTTCGCCGTAGTGACCTTCGGTGCGGGCCCATTGAGGTCTCCCGATCGCCGAACGCGGTGCGATGGTAGCGTCTTGCGTGCTTGCGTTTGGTCCCCCCGCGGCCCCCCAAAAGCTGCGCACCAAAAGTCACTCTTACCCAGGGTCACTCTTGCGTGTAGTCGAACACACCCGTACTCATACGGGGGACAGATGAGGGCTGTGGGTGCGTGCTGTCGGATGGGGGCCCCCGCTCGAACGGGAGGCTCCAGCGGGTTCTGACAACCCGCACCCATTCCCATAGCCAGCCCTCCGTCTTCCGACTCCACTCTGGGTATGGGTGTGCGTCTGCTGTTCGCTCGTCAGATAGAGTCGGGAGTTCCCGCTGTTATACCCATCAAACATCTCAAGAACAATAGTATGTTTTCGTGGACTCTAGATTTCGCCCAAGAACGTCAAACATCTGGACTGGACCCTGGGCGTTCTCCTGGAGCAGTGGAATGCTCGCATATCTGGACCTGGAGTACTGTGTACGAAAACGCTTGGAGTGAAGACGGCTTGTTCAGCGCAGAATCTTCTAAACTCTGAGCTGGGGTGTGCCTTCTGCTCAGGGCGCTGTGAGTTCCTCACGGCGCCGGGCCTCGAGGAGGCGCGAGCTGGGCCGCAGGCAGCGCCCCGCCCCTCCTCGATGGTGGCGCTGTGGCACACAGTGGAGGCCCCTGCCAAGGAACACCCTGCCTGCCTCCAAGGTGCCCTGGGTTTCTTGGGGTTCCGATGTTTTTGCGATGGAAAGCGTGACGTTCCCGCACCAAACATCGATGCACGTCCTGGGGTCTCGGGGTTGGGTTTCTTGCGGAAGGTCTCTTGTGGTCGGGCCCCTGCTGTATCTCGGGCGGGTCGGCCCTCTCGGGATGCGATGCCGCCCAGCGCCGGAGCAGAGCGGGGGCGTTGCCACGGGGCTCGCTCTCGACCCAACCCTCAGAGGAGGGGAAGGTACCTATGCCTCGACCCTTCCCTCGTGCTCCCCTTTCTGGGTCTCCTGGGAGGCCCTCGTCGCCACCGCTGGATTCGCTTCGAAAGTCTGGTCAGGACGCACCCCAGGACAGGTCCGGGGAGTGGAGGTATCGGTATCTTTGGTTCCCCCATACAGTCGGGGCCCTGAAGAAGGAACCCTTTTCGTTGGGGGCTCCGCGTTCCTTAAGTGTTTCACAGCTTGCCTCAGGTTTCCCTTATGTTTTCGACGGGAAATCGAAGGTTCACTTATGGAAAAAAGGGGCCTCGTTCCTTATTTAGGGTTCCTTAGGTCAACGCCCCGACTGTACCCCCGTGACAGTTCTCTCGCCGCGTTCTCTGTGAACATACCCAGAGGAAGCGAGACAAAACGGTCTGATCGAAGGGCCCCGCCGCATGCGCTCGCGAGTGTCGTGGCGCAGGTGATCTGAAGGGTGGGGCCAGCGGAGTGTCTGCGGCGTGGAGCGGGGGGAAGAGTGGGCACGGGCGGGCGGGGAGTCTTCGCGGTCTCGTGCGAGCCCTTGGCGCCGCGGTTTCGTGGGGCCATTTCCTCGCCAGTTCTTCCCTCCGCTTGTTTCCGCTGTGCGTTGTGTCCCTGACCGCGTGGCCCGCGATGTCCCGAACCCCAGGCGCCGCCGCCGCTTTGAACCCATGTCGCTCCTTCCTATTCCTCCGCTCCTTGTCCCCCCGCCCTGGTGCGGCCCTGGACAGAGCGCTGCGCGGAGCCCCAGCCACGCGCGCCGGTTGCCTGGCAGGAGTCCCGGCGACGCGCGCGGGCCGCCCCCGGCACGGAGCACAACGCAGAGCGGCTTGCGACGGCGGGCGAGGCGCTGGGCAGAGCACGCGGGAGTCGGGCAGCTCCCCTGGGGGCAGAGCGCAGGGAGTCCTCGCGACGCGCGGCGGTCGCCCCGAGAGGATCCCAGCGGCGCGCGCGAGTCGTCCGCGGCGCGGGGCCAGGGAATTGGGCAATCGGCTACAGGCGAAACTCGGGCGGGCCAAGGTGCAGCCACAAATTGTGTGAGGGGGATGCCGAGATGGGCGGGGAGCCGCATGTAGACCTTTTTTCACGGGGGCTTCCGATGGAGGTCCCTAACTAGGGGGCCACGAAGCGGGTACTGGTGTGTGCCGACATGGGGATGTGGTGGGCGGGGAACCGCATGTGGACTTTGCCACTGGGGCCTTCGGCGGAGTTCCCTATGGTGCCACGAAGCGTGCGAAAAGGGGTGTGCCAAAGTGGACATGCGGTGGTGGGTGGGGGCCCTCATGTGGACGGGCCACGAAACGCGTGGGACGTATGCCGAAATTGACATGGGGTGGGCGGGGGGTCGCATGTTGACCCTGCCACTGGGGCCGTCGGTGGAGCTCCTGATGAGGCCGCGAAGCGTGTGAGAGGTTCGCCGTAATAAACTTGCTGTGGGCCAGGGGCCGCATGCGGACCCTGCCCAGTTTGGGTGGGTGGGTGCAGCTCCACATGGGGCCACGAAGCGTGTGAGGGGTGTGCCGACAGGGACATGCATTGGGCGGGGAGCCACATGTGGACCTTGCCATTGGGGTTTTGGGTGGAGCTCCCTGTGCGGCCGCGAAGCGCAAGAGGGGTGTACCGAAATATACGTAGCACCCCGCAATTGCGGATAACCGTGAGGGGGCGGGCACGGGCGACGCGGGCGTCGAGCCGGCGGACCTCGTGGCCTTCACTTTCCCTGTCGATGGCGCCCTCCTCCTCCTCCTCCTCCTCCTCCTCCTCCTCCTCCTCCTCCTCCTTCTCCTTCTCATCCTCCTCATCCTCATCCTCCTCCTCCTCCTCCTCCTCCTCCTCCTCCTCCTCCTCCTCCTGCTCCTCCTCATCCTGCTCCTCTTCCTCCTCCTCCTCTTCCTGCAACTTCCCCTGAACCCAGGCTTTTGGCACGGATGACGAATTGCAGCTGGCAGCTGGATTGTCAATGAACGTGTTCAGACACAGCCCCGCCGCAGGCGCCGATGTGCTGTTGTAGAGTCAACGTGGGCCGGATCGGGGGGATTGCACGAGGGCGTTTTCCCAAACCAATGCGAACAAGCCCGCCGCAGGCGCCGATTTGCGCGCCCTGACCAGTTCAGCGCGGTGGGGATCGCTGGCGGGCCACCCGGAACGAATGCAAAAACAACCCGCCGCAGGCGCCGAATTTTTGCTTTGTTCAGTGAACGTAGTTTGGTTCGCGGGTGGGCCGTGGGCTCTCCACCTCCACCTGGAAGGAATTCAAAAACAGCCCGCCGCAAGCGCCGAACATTTTGATTTGTACACTGAAGGCGGTTTGGGTCGTATGTTCTCCACGTGGAACGACTGCAAAAGAAACCCGCCGCAGGCGCCGAAGTTTTGGCTTGTTCAGTGAACGTAATTTGGGTCACGGGTGGGTCGTGGGCTCTCCACCTCCACTTGGAAGGAATTCAAAAACAGCCCGCCGCAGGCGCCGAACATTTTGATTTGTACACTGAACGCGGTTTGGGTCGCGGGTGGGTCACAGGTTCTCCACGTGGAACGACTGCAAAAGAAGCCCACCGCAGGCGCCGAACATTTTGGGTGGTTCGCGGGGTGGGTCGCGGGTGGATCGCGGGGGGGTCGCGGTGGGTCGCGGGTGGGTCGCGGGCACGGTTTGGGTCGCGGGTGTGTCGCATGTTCTCCACTTGGAACGAATGCAAAAGAAACCTACCGCAGGCGCCGAAAATTTTGGGTGGGTCGCGGGTTGGGTCGCGGATGGGTCGCGGGTGGGTCAAGGTGATTCGCGGGTGGGTCGCGGGTTGGGTCGCGGGTGGGTCGCGGGGTGGGTCGCGGGTGGGTCGCGGGTGGGTCGCCGGTGGGTCGCGGGGGTGGGTCGCGGGTGGGTCGCGGATGGGTCGCGGGGTGGGTCGCGGGCGGGTCGCGGGGCGGGTCGCGGGTGGGACGACGACAACAACAAACAACAAACATTAAGAATCCGCATCGCGGAATTCCAATTCAGCCACGCACCCAGAGACAGTGAATGACCGTTCGGTTCAGCCCTCTCGCTCTGACACGCGGTGGACGGGGAACCGCATGTGGACCGTGCCACCGAGGCCCTCGGTGGAGCTCCCCATGGGGCCACGTAGCACGTGTGAGGTGTGCCGAAGTGGACATGCGGTGGGCGGGGAGCTGCATGTGGACCCTGACACTGAGGCTTTCTTAGGGGCTGGTCGATTGATGCGGAGAGCAGAACTAACAAGGGGGAACAGGGGAGGAGGAGCGGGAGGAGGTGGAGGAGGAGGAGGAGGAGGAAGAGAGAGGGACGCGCGGCGCTGTTTCTTCAAAACGAGGACCCAACGCCACAGGCCTGACAGCGGCCCTTGGATCCGGAAGGTGATATGGTTGGGAGCTTTTGTTCCGGGTGTCGTTCCGCTTGTTCTGGCCACGCTTCGGCGCGACACGCCGCCCACTCGCCCATTCCCAGGCGTCAGCGAGCGTATCGAGCTTTTCCTAGCCTCCCGCCACGTGGAGCGGAGCCACGCGCTATCCGCTTGCAGAGCATAGCGTGTCGCCGGGGCCGCGCCGCAACGACACGCCAAACACATGTTCCCGACCGTAGATCCCGGAGCTTTTCCCGTCGATTATTTACCGAATTGCCCGCAGCTCCGTGCGCGCAATTCGCGAGGGTGCTGCGCCCGCAGGTCCTGGTCTGGGGTCGTTTTTACTATCGGGTGGTTTGTTCAAAGAGGTCCTATGCTTGCCCACCTGTTCTGCGTAGTGTTAAGTCGGGCCTGTCCCTCTCCAGGAGGAATATTCGAAAATAGTCAAGTAGTCGGTGGACGATTTTTCCCCGATCAGAGCTTGCCTCTGTAGGGGTCCTAGCGGATTCACATGGTTTATGCTACGTTTGCCGCCGATTTTCGCCGCACGCCCGGGTGCCCGGGTGCCCCGGGATGCCCGGGTGCCCGGGTGCCGGGGGGGTGCCCGGGGGGGTGCCCGGGGGTGCCTGGGTGCCCGGGTGCCCGGGGGGTGCCCCGGGGGTGCCCAGGGGGGCCCGTGTGCCCGGGTGCCCGGGCGTGCCCGGGGGTGCCCGGGGGTGCCTTATAGCCCAATAGCCAGCCCATATAGCCCAATAGCCCATATAGCGCCCAAGAGCCCATATAGCCCTGTAGCCCTATAGCCCTACAGCCCTAAAAAGATTATGATTGGGGGTTGTCTCCGGTATCATTTACATATGTTTTGTCCACTTGGGTTTTTTTGGGTATTTTAATTTTTCGTCCAAAATCCCCCTGTAGGGGGACAGGCCCGACTTGATGAGCGCAGTGCGCCAAGGTGCCCGGCGCGGCCCGTCGGCTCTTCGGCCGCGGTGGCACCCACCAGCGCCTCGAGCAGAAGCGCTGCTGCTAGGAAGGTGGAGCTCCTTTTGAAGCTCGGACGGGGCGAGGATGATTTTTTGATTTAATCGCTTCGCTCATTCCGCCGGCCCTGGAGCGCTATTTGGGGCGCCTTGGGGCCGTCTTGGGGGCTTCTTGGGGGCTTCTTGGGAGCGTCTTGGGGCTCCGTGGCGGCGTCTCGGGCTCCCCTGGGGCCTCTTTGGGGGCTCTTGGGGGCCCCTTGGGGCGGGAGGGGGGGTAGTCGATTGCAGCCACCCCCTCGGAGGCCACGATCATCGTGCTGCTACGAAGGTGGAGCTTCTTTGAAGCTCGGATGGGGCGAGGATGATTTTTTATGTTTGGCGATTTTGGGGTACAGCGCCGGTTTTAATACATGCTCCGCGTGCGGATATTGAAGATAAAGGGTTGCTTAATAAATGCAAGGATAAGTTCGTTTGCGCATGAATTTATTCATAAACTAATCATGCATTAAAATTCCTAGATATAACAAATCCTATGTATTAACACCTGCCCTGTATGTTTTGACATGTTTTGGATTTTTCGTCCCAGATCCCCCTGCGGGGGGACAGGCCCGACTGAAGCGTAGTGCGCCGGGTGCCCGGCGCGGCCCGTCGGCTCTGCAGGCGCGGTGGCACCCACCAGCGCTGGGAACAGAAGCGTTGCTGCTACAAGGGGTAAGTCGGGCCTGTCCCTCTGCAGGGGGGAAGTTCAAAAATAGTCAGGAAATAGTCTGGGGACGATTGAAGCTTCTTGAAGCTTTGAAGGTGGAGCTTCTTCGAAGCTCCTTGAAGCTTTGAAGCCTTGGGGGCGATGTTACAAGGTGGAGCTTCTTTGAAGCTCGGACTCAGGAGGGGAAAAGACACAGAGACACAATGAATCGTCGATCCCCGGGAACATGTGGGAAAATATGGGAAGATATGGGAAGTGTGGGGGAAGACGAAAATCCAAAAAGCATGGGAAAATATAGGGAATCCAGCTATTGGTATGTATTTATTTGTGTGTCCCCACCAGTGCTGCGAACAGAAGCGTTGCTGCTACAAGGTTTAAGTCGGGCCTGTCCCTCTGCAGGGGGAAAATTCAAAAATAGTCAGAAAATAGCCCAGGGATGATTGTTTGACAATTTTTGAGAGCATCTTTGGGGTATTTTTGGGGTATATTTTTTGTTTTCATCCAAGATCGGCCTGTAGGGGGACAGGCCCGACCTAATACAAGGTAGAGCTTCTTTGCATCCCAGACGGATGTCGGACGGGGTTGGGGCGAGGATGGATCCGTGCCAGAGCGTTCCGGAACGAACGCTCCAGGAAGGCCGCGGTGCCCGAGACATCCCCCAGAGCCGCCGGATCTCAGAGCTTTTCGATCTATCCTCGCCCGAAACGGTCCTCGTCCTGATTCCTTCCGTGCTCGCGAGGCTGGGGGGGTCTGGGAAATACTGCGAGGAGGAGGAGGAGGGCGCGGAGCTCTCCTGAAGTGCGTGGCGGCGCGAGGGGGGTCTTCCGGAGTCCCAACAACTACGGCCCGGCCGCCTCGGCCCCCGACCCGCGACGACGGCTGCGGCGACGACGGCGACGGCGGCCACGACGGCAACGACGGGGACGACGGCCGTGGCGACGAGAGGAGGGCTCTCGGAGGCCCGAAACCGCCCAAACGCTGCGATCCTTGACGACGACGACGCCGACGACGACGTTGACGACGACGGTGACGCCGGGAGCGCAACAAAAACGACCCTCCGCTAAGCCATCCTGGGCCAGCCGCGGGACATGTGGTCCGTCGGGTGCTTGCTGTTCGCGATGCTGTTCGGGCG